CGCTACATGCACTGTATACATATATCTGTACACCCTTGCATGCATACATGTACACACATGTCTGCTAACGCACACCTGCACCTTCCTTTCAACAGCAATTAATAAAAGCCTTTTCATTGACTCTCCGGTTGACTTTTCTTCCTTGGCATTACTCATACCCACACACACACACACACACACACACACACACACACTAACACACGCATTAAATCCATTGCTTAATATTACCAGGGCCTAGAAACAAAACAGAATACGGCCACAAGTACTCTCCCTCGGCTTTGAACTTTCCCTGCATTTGCGTTTGAAACCCTGATGAAAAAAGCTTCAAAGACCACACTCCCTCTCTTCAAAGGAGACTCAGGGTTGCCTCGGCAGTCCTCGCAGAAAATAAATTTAAAATGTGTATTGGGTTTTTAGCGAGGAGCATTATCTCCAAAAATGCAATGAACTCCCATTACTTTGGCCCCGCTGCCTTGTATCACGAGCAAAGAGTATAACATGGATCGGCCCCCTAAGTGCCTTTTTTACAAAGAGAAAATTACAGTTCTTTGACTTTTCAGCACAAATGTAAAAGAGCATTTTCATTGAAGATATCTTCACTTTGCTCTAGTTCTTCATGGAGCAGGTCCCTTTTCTAAAACTTCAACATCAGATCTATTCTACTCTAAAGCCTAGTGGTCTCTGGCGCTAACATTTACACAGGTGCACTTTCATGACGTCTGTTTTAGACCTGCTATCAACATTCACTCTTTCAGGATAAAGTTAAGTTTAATTACAATTTATAAAAAATAAAGGCAACTTAATTCTTAACACATATTCCCATAGATGTGTATGGATGTGATTGGCAGGGATTTCTTTCACCATTTTAACATGTGTGTATTTGTGTATGTTTATGCGTGTGTTTGCTCAGCTGGGTGCTTGTAGAGGTGTAAATTGCCAGTGAGGACTGTGGATAAAGATGAAGGCTGAGGGACAACAGAGATATCGCCATGATGTCACTGATGACCATGTGCTAATTGTGTTATAAAGCACCTATGGGAACACTAGCACTATAAGGAATAAACACATTAAGAGATCTTAACACTGGAATACAAACACATTCAAGCACTTACAAGTTAAAACATGCATAGTAAAAGTAAAGAAAAAAGTAAAAAACTGGCAAAAAGATACAAGAATAATCACCAATACTTCAACACAGTCCCTTTAAACAGTACAAACATAACAATAGCTAAACATTAAAACTATTAACTCATATGCATCAATGAAAAATAATTATTGTTTTCCCAGAATTGTACATTTCATATTTTGAATTGACAAAAGAATACTGTGCTGTTCACATATAGCACTTAGTTACAGCCAGACTTACTTACAGAAGCATACCAATGGATCAAAACACATTTAAATCCCCCTCATGCACAGCAGCCAAAAGAAGATTACCAGAACAGTGGAAGTATTTTCTTACCATTTTATTTGTTTTACATTCTCATTCATAGCAAGCAAAGACGGCCTTTTCTTTTGTGGACAGGGAAAGATATACAGTCGGCTCCTGCTGACATTTAGCTCTCCTCGCTCTCTCCCAGCAGCACGTGGAGAAGAACTGCACGTCAAAGATTCAGAGTATGAATTATTAATGGTACAGATTAAACGTGCCAGGACTCACTGTGGAAGCCTGTTTGTTTTATTTGGACGTAATTATTTAATGGCACCTTGTTAAAAAGGATAGTGAGGAGAGGAGAAAGGAAAAGAGGAGAAAATGTGGGATGAAGCTTTGTTTGGACAGTAATTGGTGGTGAAATAATTACGAAGTGCTGTGAGCGTTCACTGCACAGACCGAGGTGCAGAGGTGAGGCGTCGCCTGACTCAACTCTTCTTTCACTATTTTCTCATTTGTTTTTCAATTCTCTTTCTTGACAAAGAGATCTGTTTCGTGTCATCCTTTTTTTCCCTCTTCATCCCCTCTCTCACACACACACACATGCACAAACGCACCATTGCATGTCTTTGCATTAATGTCAACCCTGGTGACAATTTACATGGGCATGTGGAGAGAGTAGTGGAGCATGGAGGGCACTGTTCCCTATTTGTACCTTCATAGTGACTCACACACACACACATACACACATATACTGTACAGTGTAAGCTGCTGCCACCACCACTCTGCCATCCAAACAAACAGAGTCTGACAGCATAGCCGGTGCCTGGCATGCATCCCTGCACACACACACGAACACACACACACACATGCACACAAACACACAAAGTCCAGCCGTTATTGTAGTTTAAAGGTTCAGTACACTCATGCTACAATACTTCATCCTCACTAACCAGCCGCCCATCGAAACTCATGCTGCATCTAAATCTGTCCCTCTGGCTACAAGGGGCCATGACCCTTTATAAGAGGCTCTTCCACATGAACATATATACAATACAATGAAGTGGTCATATAGACAGTAAAAATAATACACACAAACTTACCAGTGGAAAGTAACTAAGTAAATGTATTAGTCACAAAGAGAGGTACAGGAAAACATTCCTGCCTTCTCCAATAACACTTTTCAACACCTCACCTCTGGCCGGCAGAGAACTCACTGTTCCATAGTTTGAGTTTCGCCATTCTTATAAAAGACCTGTAGTATTTTGGATCCTGTTGTATTTTTGACTTTTTATTTTAACCATCCAGAATATTTTATATTGTTTTGTTTATATTTGATATAATATTTTTCATTTTTTCATTTTATTTTGAATTGTTAATTCTCTTTTCCACTTTTTAAAGTATTTTAAGTATTGTATTATAAAGTCTGAACAGACTTCTGCTTCTGTGACGAAATAATTTCCCAAATTGGGATCTATAAAGTATCTATCTATCTATCACTGTACGATTGGTATTATTTTAGGTACTTGTTCTTGATTATTTCCACTATCATATTATATACAAATAATGCGCTGCATCTCCGGGGAAACCACTATGATTTTTAAGTTAATGCCATGGTAGGTCAACAAAATAATAATTACAGAGCCAGGGCAGAGGGGTGATATCCAAAGAAAAATCTCCGAAATTCTCTAAGATTAAAGTCACACATTAAGAGAAATAATACACTTGATGAATTGCAACGTCAACAAATAAAGTAGTTAAAACTTGATCCCACTTCAATGCTTAACTGCTTAAAAGTTAACACGTCACTCATGATTACCCAATCATACTAAAATAAATGAGAAAAAAACAGTTTCCTTCTTCCACCTTTTTACTTGTAATGAAGTATATTTAGCTACTTTTATTAATGTAAAGCAGTGTTTGTTTCACCACTGGTACACACAGAAGCACATAGTTAGTAATTATTGTTTTATCTAAGGGTATCTTCAGGGTTTGCACTCCCGACGTTTCCCTTTCCCTCCACCACATGATGACAGACTAATCGAATATTCCCTCTTTGAAGCAGCGCCGCTGGATCTATTTATGAGTCAGGCAGGGGGTCTGTGTGTGTGTGTGTGTGTGTGTGTGTGTGTGTGTGTGTGTGTGTGTGTGTGTGTGTGTGTGTGTGTGTGTGTGTGTGTGTGTGTGTGTGTGTGTGTGTGTGTGTGTGTGTGTGTGTGTGTGTGTGTGTGTGTGTGTGTGTGTGTGTGTGCGTGTGCGTGTGTGTGCTAATATTACAGCACATATCCTCTACCTTTGCGTTTTTACGAGTGTTTCCTTGTGCGTTTGGGTGTCTTTATTTACACTTGTTTGTCCAATTACTTTTACATTTGCGCGTGTTGTGTGTGTGTTACTGTGTAGGCAGCTGGTGTATGGAAATGTTGTTTATGCGTTTTTATGCAAAGCAATTATGTTGACTTAATTGGGTTTGTTTATGTGGAGAGTTTGCCACCTCCAGTCATGTTCCTGCTACCGTGGACAGACACATCACATCACACACACACAAATATTCGCGCACACTTATTGAAACAGCACACTTTCTACTTTGTGATTGAATAATGTGAAGTGTTTCCTTTATAATAAGGGATTTATATTCAGTGTGGGTTCTAAGGACACTATCGCAGAAACATTTTGTTAATATGTCACTCAGCGGCAGTAATTCATAATGTGGCATCCTGAGTAAACAAAGTCAAATCATATACCGTAATTGTACAAATATGTAGTGACAATCACTAGTGAACATGTACAGTTGAATAACATCAACATGTCTTCTGGGTAAATGCTGCATTTCACTAGCATTATGTTCAAGTACTGGATTTTTCATCCACAGCAAAGTACAACCAATGCAGTTTTAAAAAGAAAAACACTGCCCAACGTCTGTTCCTCTCCTCATTGCCTCAGGTCTGAATCCAAAGATAAAAGGTTAATTTGCCATTTCTCTCTTTCCTCTGGGCCAAATCAATCGGACATAGTCTCTGTCTGCCATTGTCCTAATCAGACCCTCAACTCGCTATTGGATTTCAATGGAACAGGCGCAGCCCAAAGACCTGCACAACCACCTAATCAATGATCCTCAAATGCTGCTGGTTTCTATAGGGGATCGCTTTGGTTTTAATGCCTACACAAGGAAGTGACACAGGGTCCAACGACTTGATACTGTATGTCCTCTGGAAGTGCATTTGTCATTTAGCTAATAGCGAATCACAAACAACTTCATGTATAGTGATTCTGCTGCGTGCTTGGGGGGTCTGTACATTTGGCATCAATCGCTCTAACCCTATCAAGCCCAATGAACACATCCAGGGTAACCTAAGTCCAAATGAACCTTCTAACTTACTTCAGTGTCATAGAAAGAAATGCAGAAGGGGAAACAAATTGTCCTTCACAGCTTTTTGTCACAACAGTTCATGCAGTTTCCTTCAGTTTTTAAGTAATACAGACAAGGGAGTACAGTAAGTCTTTTTTTACTATTGGCCTCGCTTTAATGCAAAGAAGATAATTCAATTAATGCAACATATTTTTCTTTTAGCTTGTATTACTCTGAATTGTGTGTGAATGTTTGAAACTTTATGACTGTATTGTTGTGCAGGTTCTGCGATGGCCTCACAGAGCTCTGGGAATGGACCAGAAGGAGCCCACCCGCCAAACACCCGCTCACCCATGGCTCAGGAGAAAGGTATGTGTGTGTGTATTTTGTATCCAATGGCACACATTCAGTGTTTGGCCTTGACATTTTAAAGGCGACAAAGAGTAAAGATAAGTTTGTTTGAGTGGAATACAGTGTGTGTTTATGACAAGAGTTTTACTTTGGTGAAACATAATGGCTAACATTCTTAGGAGAACCAATGCAGCATAAAATGTTTCCAAAAGAAATCCTGATAATTTACAATCAGAATAAAAGAAGCTTTATACTTTTCTAAAGTCAGCCATGTCCGAAATATAGTTTTTCACATTCCACACCAGTGAGGACATGAAGGGTGAAGATCATAAGAAACTAAAATATAAATAGTCTGTTCAAAGCAAAGCTCTGTGAATATCACCAGTACTGGTTGTAATGAAAGGTTTTCTGATGGAACATAAGGATGTAAACAAAGATTGTGGCTTGTTTGTCTCAATGCAGGACGGCACCAGCATGTGTTGAAAACAAACATTTTAAACAGAATCAAATGATAGTTGGGGTAAAGCTCTCATACACAAGGTTTTTAGCATCATACGACATCATTTCCCAACATAGGTCAGAGGAAAGCCATGTTTTTGAAAATATGTAACAGTCAACATTCAGTTGATTAAGCTCGAGTCAGAGCGTGTGTTCTTTTGATGGAGCCACTTCAGTTTTGCCCACAACTTGTTGCCAAAGGCTTGTAGCACGAATGCTAACCCACAAGCCACATGCGCCTGCCAGCAGAAAAATAGTTTCCAGCAATTATGGCCACTTGTCAAGTATTACTAAAAACAGAAGAATTACTCATTTACATCCACACAACATTGTAAACAAATCTGAAAGACTGGGATGTACCCTTAATGGGATGACTGTGATGCTCCTTCTCTATCACCCACTGAAGAGCAGTTAACATAGAAGACAGGGAGTAGATGGATGAAGACAGAGAGAGAGTGATGCACTGTAAAACGTTATTTTCCCAACATGATGAAATCAAACAGGAGATTGAATGCTGCTCTCTAATGCCTGTAAACCTCGAGTCCCCCCCCCCAGCCCAGTCCGGAAAAACAGCGCCGGTTAACAGGGCTGGTTGTTGTTTTCTAGCAAGGATTAACCCCCCCTTCCCAAACACACTCCCCACTTTGCTCAAGTGCCTGCCTCCCTAAGAGCCTCTCTCCACTCTTCATTTCCATAAATCCGCTGAATGTCCCTTTTTCCCCCCCCCCACACTGTCTCTCGCGTGCTTCGCCGGCTGCCTGTTGTTGTTGTTGTTGTCCGGCTGAGAGCTTCACTCGCTCTGCCAAAAGAGAGAGAAAGGTTTACGCGTGTGTGTGTTTTTGTGGAGATGGAAGCAGAGAGAGAGAAATCCTTGAACGTGTTATTTGCTTTTAGCACTGTCTGCACAATGTTCCTCTCCCCATCCATTTTCCAGGCAATTTAAAGTGCAATATTACACACTGTAATTTTTTTCTCCTCCTCTCCAGAATCCCCTTACCCTAATGGAAGCAAAACATTACAATAATGTCCTCGCTCCTTAAACCCAGCACTCGCAGCCTAAGCACTTTCAGGCCCCAATCGTTCTTTCTCTTGCTCCGTTGCTCTGTCTTTCCCTCCCACACTTTCTCTCTCACTGCCTCTGTCTTGGCCTCTGTCTGTTTCCCGCACGAACAAACACACACACACATTGAACATTTATTGCTCTCTTCTCCCCATTATCCCCGCCCCCCCACACTCCGAAACACAAATATGTACACACATGTATGTGCACACAAGCATATAGTGAATACACACTCAGTTTTAAACTTTTATCTCCCTCCTCTCTCCTCACATTTGCTCTCGCATTCTAAGCAGAAACAAGGAATTATACAAGTGTCTGCTTGCACTTTCCAACTCCTAAACCCCAAACTCACTAAAGAGTCGGAATGTGCGCGCTCTTTCATCAAAGCGGATAGCTATCAAAGTTTACAGTCGAGCAGACCCAATCCATTTACACCTTATCTGCAATACTGCATCCCCCCCCCAACACACACACGCCCACACACCCTCGTCTCGCTCACTCAATGGCTGTCCAGCGACCTTTCTCCATTCACGGTGGATTGGGAGACCTTTCTATGGGTTTTTTGGGTCCGCTTGAAAGAGCGAAGCCCAGGCGAGGATTGCTCCAAATGTCAATTTGAATGGTGGAGGCGAGTTTGGGGCCTGAGAGGTTTTAACACATCTATTGACAGAATGGCTTAGAATAACATAGTAGCCATGGTCAATTCACTGGCTAATTCTTTTTTTTCATGCCCCAGAACACACATGGACTCATCTTTTGCAGGTATACATTCTTCTTTTAGGCCAGGTATATACTTGATCTCTGCTTTCACTGCTAAAGGAGTTCACTAAACATTCTGTGTTTTTTATTTTTGCTCAGGGTTCCTTTTACATGTCAGCCTGTGCTTTTTGTGCCTGTTTTGTCTAATACCCGCTCCATGCCGAGTTACTCACTGATTTGTATCTACGAGTAACAGGAGCCAATGCCAAGGTAAAAGATTAGGCTTTCATCAAAAGGAAGGGTCTCTTTACACGGGGCCATTGAATGGATATCTACATTTATTTAGCGGGTATAATGACCTCATCCACCTTCGCTCAATCCCTCAGTCAACACTTGATTTTTCTGAGCAGGTGCATTTACTCTTAAAGAGCTCTTTGTGTTTTAGGCACCTTTTTAAGCAAAGCATTGACATTGCGTTTTATGTCTAATTGTGTGTTTCAGGGTTCATGTCTAACATGCAGAGGAACCAGCCAGGCTCTCAGTTTGCTTCTCCTCAGTCAGGACCTCCCATGTCCCCCCACCCCTCACCTGGGGGCCCATTGTATCCTGGGATGGGTCCCTACTCCCAGAGCGGCCCTTCTGGTTCTCATGGACCTCAAGGATCACAGTATGGACACCAAGGTTAGAACCAGTTTGCCTAAAAAAATTATTATAACAAATGTTACTTTAACTCACAATTAAACGTGAAAATACACTTAGAAGGGAATAGAAGGTTCTGGAAGATTGGCCCATTGATTATCTTTAAACAGAAACTCGTATTAAAGTGCGCAGGCCTTTATTATGATCCAATAAGCTTGATGACGTAGCAACCACTCCCAGGGTTAGTTAGTTAACTGCTGTAGCCGGCAAGCTAACCACTAACTTGCTACATGCCTGAAACATGCTAATGCTAATCAGCTCACCAAGCTTCTTTTTCAACATGGTGTTGAGTTCTCACGACTATACATCATTTCAATCAATTAATACTTTATTGAAGAGTTGAGAAAAAAACTCTGAGCTAATGAAATTGTTAACTGCTCAAAGTTACTTGGACATCTGGTCGATAACAAGATGTTAGGTTTACAGTTTTGTACCATGAAAAAAAAGCAAAACCAAACTTCAACTCGTTGGTTCATTTCATTCTCAAGTAGAGGATGGTTTAATACGAGGAGGGGGTTCAACACAGCTTGTAATCTACAAGAGTTTCCCTCCATTTCAGACTCCTTGGCCGTTCGTTCACCTTAGTGATAATCACCTTTTGGTCAATAACTCCAGGAATTCATGAAGATGTAATTTACACAGTTTGCAAATTCACCTATCTTTGCAATTCTATTGAAATCAATATGAAGGGGTGAAGAGGCCTTGACACTTAATCATACAGTATTTTTAGGAAATAATAGCAAATGGGATTTCTTTTTTACTTCGAGAAACACATTCATTTTCTGGCTATATAATGACTGTATTACACATTTTTCCTCAGCCTTACAACAATTCTGAATGGGACGTTTTCAGCACTAGTTTGAAATGTTCTTCTCCTCTTCTACAAATGCCATGTGCACTTTACCAATAATGTGCTATATTGTGTTTAGTACAGTGTTAGCTAAGAGCACCTGCGTCAATAACCTATTGAAGACACAAAGGCTATAAAGGAGTCTAAGTTTGTAATTTGACCAAAAAGTCATACATATTTCATAATTCCTTTAGGCAGGAGTGAGGACATTATCTCGAGGCTCTAATAAGAAATGGAGTCCTTGGAGCCAAGCTTATTGAAACAACACAAAGAAACTTCTGTCACTCTTTGACAGAAAACGAATATGTACTGTAACTTAAAGCCAGATAAAGACTATTCAAAACCAAAAGAGATGGAATTTGGATCCTTTCAAATTTTACGATGAATTATTACTCATGAAAACCACTAACAGGCCCTGTGTGGACTTTCTCTGTTGACTTTTACCTGACAGCAGTTTTGTGGAACAGCTTCTTCTTTCTGCCTAGTCGTTTTGGACTGATGAATACCACGTAATACCAAGGAGCCTGGCCTCAGATGGGAAAGCCACATTTGTCTTTGTTCATGACGGTTGGCCCTCGTTTCGCAGTCACATTGGGCCTTGACATCGGTGTCATTGGTTTTCAAAGAGACTTTTCTAATGAGCAATACAAAAAGATTCATTTTAAAAGACATATCTATCCCCTCTTTCTTTCTCTTTCTCTTTCTCTTTCTAAGACTGTCTCACACAGACATTCGTATATGGTCTCTCCTCCTGGGGTAGGTCTCACTGCAGGCATTAAAACACATCTTTCTGAAGATGAGACTCTGAATATTCATGATGCACTTGAACTCTGGACAGACCTCTTGGCCCTCCTCATGATAACATTATGAGGGAGCTCCAAAATGACAGGGGTCGTGAGGTTTATCCACGGAATGATAATGTCCAGTGGACCAAAGAAAAGATCTTTCACTAAAGTAAAAGTACTATACTACTAACTTTAATACAAAGTACAAGAGTATAAGCACAAAACATTTTATAAATAATATTCATTATGCAAAATGGCACATTTCAAAGTAATGTTTATTATCAGATGATAATTTTGTATGCATTAATTTGTTCATAACTTTATTGTAGCTGGTATTGGTGAGGATCATTTTTTCAACAAGATATGGGTAGCCATGTCTATAAAAATACGTCATCATTTATTAGTTAATTTAGGATGTTTAATCTAAATCTGGAACGTAACCAGTAACTAAGATATTAAATAAATGTAGTGGAGTAAAAAATACACTTTTCCCTACAAAATGTGGTCTATTGTAAGTCCAAGTGGCATAAAATGGAAATACTCAAATATACAGAAGTATCCAAAAATTGTATAGTACTAGTAAGTGAAGAACTTGGGTTTATTTATCTAATTGCATTCGTCCACTGATGATGTCCAATCTGAAATGTTTTGCCATCATCCTACTCCTATTCATACATGGTATAATTGTTGATATTTCTTTAAATTAGCCATTTAGTATTTTTGGCGAATTTAAGTTCACCAGTCATTTCGGATATTTTGTCTGTTGTGTATTTACAACAAGATGACTGCAAAGCTTATTTTTTATCTTACACACAAAGGGGGAAACTACGCGACAAAATACAAACACAAGAAATCAAACATTAATTAATTTACGGGTTCACAACTGTGAAACAGTGTTGAAACCTAATGCTTCATATTTTAATACGTAGGGCAACCTAACTTAAAAGGTTTACAAATATAATAATTTGTTGCAAGATACTGTCAACTCATTTTAAAATGATAAGGTCTATAACTTGATCAATCTGTGAATATCATTCCTGTCTCTGTTGGCTAATTGTACTACAGTTTATACTCCAGGCCTGTTTTGAGGAGACATTTGGTGAATCAGTCAAATCAACCATTTATATAAGCTTTTTCTCATACTCAAAAAAAGGCAAAAAATAAACACTGATTCCCAGAAAGATGGGTCAAACTGTGGATTGCTCTCTGCAATTCAGCATTCTCCTCTGCTTTTCCTCAATGTATGACACCTGGCCATCCAACAAACGTTGACATCTGCTGTACTTTGTCTTTGCCTTTGGCGGCACCCTAGACGAAACATTGTTTTTGGTTAATGTTTGCTTTAAAGTGTCACCTTGATGAATGCGCCCATCCGTGGTGTTTCCCCAAAATTGCGTCCTCTCCCTCGCATTTGTTAATGTTGATTAATAACCCTAATGCATTTGGTATTTGGTCTCCCCTCTCCACCCACCCTTATCTCTTAATGTGACTTTGGCTGGGCCGACAGCCCAGTAAGCAGACAGAAAAAGAGAAGTAAAGTAAGCAGAGAGCGACAGCGAGGCGAATAGCCTGGAAGAGGCTCTGGAGGCAGATGAGCGTGAAATCTCACTCGGATGACAGGAGAGATGTTCCCATCAGGAACGGAAAGAACAGCTCAGGCTCGCTTGTCTTCTCATCACAGTCACATACAGTATATTTATACTGATGTATGTATACCCTCATTCAAATGTAATGCACTTGGAACTGACCTGCATCTGTCCTGAGTTTGTACTCGAGGATATTCTCAGACAGCAGCGCAGCTCCTATCTAAAAGAGGTTTTTCTTAAATGGCTACTTTTGTATCTTCGCATAGTGTCAACAACAAAACAAACAAAAATGGCAGGCAGTAAAAAATATCCTCTTCATTCAAGCTGTATGAATATTTCCCAGTTTATTAGGTTATACTGTTGTTTAATACAATAGCCCTGCAATAAATAACGAGTACTTTCATACAATGTCCAGCTTTTGTTGGAACTGTCTAGAGGTGTTTACTGTATGCAGTGCTGTTGTTTGTTTTCCATCATACTAATATTTGCTTCTTACATTTTGACATCCCCATCATGTAATTAGTACTATTGGCCAGGATATGGCTTTGTTGGATGACGTAGCACTGCCTTTGGGGTCAAGTTCAACTTTTGGGCTAGACCACTCCGTGTTTCTTGCGTTATCTCACAGAAACTAATGAAACAACTTTGGTTTTTGATATGCAGCGCTATTGCCTTTCTGAACACTGCCTTAGCAATGACCTCATTCAGAAATCTTTGATCCACAAAGGGACAGCCATCAGCAGAAATATGAAAAAAAAAATCAAAAAACATTCAGTACTGGAAAGTATTCAAAAGGGAACATAGCTGGTGTCCTAGATCTTGAAGGGTCTGTTTGGGGTGAAGAGGGCAGACAGCTGCTGGTCATTGTTCTTTTCCTGACAGCTCCATCTGCTTCCCTTCCCTCTCCCTCGCGCTCTAACAAATTAACCAGCCATTAGCCAACACAGAAACGCACTCCAAGTTTCTGAACTCTTCTCTGACTGTTTTTCTTGGCCTGTCCGCCTGATCTACGAGAACTCAACCTCTTAAGTTACTTGTGTGGTGTGTACCACAGCTCATCAGAGAACATCACATCTGTGTGATGTTGTGTAAGGAAGGTTGCAGCAAGGATCTTGTATCAGCGGCAAACGGTTGTAGCTTGTGTAACCAACTACATAAACCCAACACAGTTATGATGATGATTGCAGGAGGATATGCCCATTTTACAAACAATCCTAAAATAATATGTACTTATTTACATAGATCTTAGATTAGTGGAAACAAGGCTCAAGCTTTCCCTCATTTGGCTATTCCTTACAGCTTTCTCCAACCCTTCTGAAGTGCCCGCTTCTTGCCCTCAAAATATATTTAATGTTTTATGTTCATGGCTTGTTTAAAGTTGAACTGATCTCGTACTGTGTGTTGATATCGGCCTCTTCTCGGGACTCACATAACTCCACCAGCTGTTTCTAAGACGTGCAGAGCCAGCATGTTGAGAACAGTGGACAGGGGAGGAGGATATCAGACCATTACAGGAAAGAGATTTGGAGTGTGTGTCAGTTCTGCTGGCTTTCTCTCTCACCCATTGCAGTGCCCCCCCCCCCCTCCCTCCCTCGAGGGGTTAAGCACTCGCTGGTAATGACCATGCTTCATACAGCACTTTTAAGCCTTGGTGCCTTGCTGGGGCGGCGGTGTAATTCAGCCAAAAAAGCCAACGCCTGGGGGAGGGACAGGAGTTTTTTTGGAGGAAATTGAGTGTGTGGTGCTCTGTAGCCCCAAGGCTCACCCTGGCCCTGCTTAGGCTCAGACGCCCTGCCGGGAAGGTGCTGAGGTGGCTGAGAGAGGATGTTAAAGCCTCAGGCAAAAGAAGACGCTGCAAAAAAAAAACTATCCATCCCAGCAAGTCATACGTGTATACTGCAGTCTAATACCGAGTCCTAAAAGCGTATTAAGGACGGGAAGAAATGTGCTGTTTGCTTTTTTATTTGTATTTATCCGTTTTGGCATTATCAATAGCTGTGAACTTATCTGAAGTTTTAAGTTTTAAGAGCACTCATATTTACAAGGCACCCATGAGATAACATAAATAAGTACAAAATAAATAAGAAATAAAAAGTATAATAAAATAATAATAATACAGGTATAATACGAGTCTGTGAAAAATCAGCAGCAGTGGTAAAAGTCCAGTATAACAGATACTAATGTTGTAGTGTGTAGTAAGTGTAGTAATAAATACATTTTCTTAAAGGTGGGGTATGTAATTCACTTCAGATACACTTTTTGTTATATTCCATGGAATGCTCTTAATATCCCGATAGCAATGAATACATTAAATGCTTTGACAATAAATACATAACAAAATGTCATCTGTGGAAGCCGTGGCGCTGTAAAAAGTACGACCAATCATTTTAGCCAGCCCGGCTAAAATAACTGGATGGCCTACCTGCCTGTCAGCCTTCCATCTCGTGCACAAACTTATCTCGTGCCCTCATTGGTCATGTGAGCGTTCGTGTGTGTTGGAGGAGGGGCTCTGTAAGGAAGTCTGAAGGAAGGGGCAGATTCGGCTGCGTAGTTTCAAATTCTAGCGCACTCGAGCTGGTTTCTCCATTCTTACCTACCCTACCTTTAATCTCAAGAGCTTCAATCTGTTTTAAACAGATTAAACTACATTAAAAACTGTTAGAATTATGGTATATGTAAAATTATGTTATACTGTACTTTAAATAGGAAATAGGGGAGATTGTGTTTTATAGCACCCACTCTATATATACTATATATATAAAACTTGTTACACCTGAGTATAATGGAACGAGATATGTATCAGGGTGTCCACTAGCACATTGATAAAAAAGTAAAAAGAAAAATGCTGTTATTCATTTATTTTATTCGTGTTCATCCACATGAGGACATGGACAGTCTGCTCTTGTCCTTGGCAGCTCAAGCATGCAGCCATGTAATCTGCGTTCCACTCCTTATTGATGGAGCTCACAGATCCGGGGGGCTGGTTGGTGCACCATCATACCTTTCTCCACCGTAGCCGGCAGAATGGCTGCCTCGGCTGTTAGCATTGGACGGTCCAGTCTGCTGAGGAGGCAGAAGACGGTAATCTGCTCGGTCACACTCAGCTCCCCCTCGGGACTGCAAGGATTAATCCCGGCGCAGGATATAGCTTCCGTCCAATGCGTGACCATGCCCGGAATATCCATGTAATTGTGAACGAAGCACCATGAGCTCTCCTTCTCCTTCTCCTCCCCTCCATCACACTATAAATACCACCAAGACTCCCCAAAGGCACCAAGTGCCCGAGAAGCAGGCAGGAAACCAAGACTGAGCCACAAGGACACGAGAAGGGACAGATAAAGATGACATGCTATTTGTCCTCTTTTTCAGAGTAGTATGGCTAGCATGCAAAGTAGGAGAAGCAGATGATACAGTTCTGTGAATATATGTTGATGCTTACATGTGCACAATATGAGGCACATATCTGTTTGAGCAACAGGAAGTGGAATTTCTGAGTATTTATAAATGTTGTCATTTTGCCAAAAATGCAGAATAAAGTATCAAGATTTTTAAAGAGAAAGTGTCAAACCTTCATATTGGCTACACAAACGAGTCCCCAGCTCAAATGTATTTCATCTACAAATAATACATATTTTCAATTTATGATCAAATATATGTGTGCTTATAGTAATGTACATTTTAAATAATATATATTCTAGCTATAAAGAATATATTCTATATTGCCGGTTACTGATCCAACTTCTTCATCTGATGTTATCTGAATGGCACCTCGAAAGACTTTGGAAATATAAATGACTCTCATGAAAACACCTAGAATTTCAGTGAAAGTAGGTTATGCTATCTGTCCTTGAAGAAGCACTCTGGCGCAGCACCAATCTTTCAGGAGAGTGAATCATCCTTGTCAGGACAGAGCAAGACTCTCATAGGAAAGCTTAGCATTAACCCAGTCCCACAGCCACTCCGTCTTTCCTTTGTTAGCCGAGGCAAACATAGCTGGAAACTAGAACATTTTGAACGGTAGTACATCAAATGACAGATCTGTCTTCACCCCTCCCAGTAAAGTTGAATACAGTCTCATGGAAATTTCCAGACTCACTCCCACTTTTTGGGGCTTTTGGAACATCCGCCAAAATGGGAAAAAAAAGAATGTCCAAATGGGACTGCGTGATATAAACAACTCCCCGGGAGGTGTGCTGAAGCCTCAGTTTGTCACGAGGGCCAACAACCACAAAGTGTCCGCCCAGGCCATTGAGAACGTATGGCAGGTCGCCATGACATGGGGCTCAACAGCTGTCCAAAGAGCTGAGAGAGGTCGCTGACTGCGGCCTTGTTCCAAACCGTCCACCCAAGTGAAGTGAAGGGAAGGAAGCTGCAGGGCACCGCTCCCAGTGTTTCCCACAGCACAGTCACTTTAGAGTGCAAGGAACATGGAAATGTATCTTTCACTAGTTTCAAGGTCTCAGAAGTATTATATATGCATCCACACAGACAAGCAGATGGATACACACACACACATTTAGTGTGCACCATATGTATCCTCTTGTGTTCGTTAGCAGACATCCTTTCTTCCTGAACGCTTCCCTATTATAGCCCCAAAACCCTTGACAGGTGTCAGCCGTACTCAGCTCACCGACTCACCAAAGCCTCCCCAGAAATAATCCGCTTCTGCTTTTCCTATCTCCCACAGTAGATTTCATCACAATTTCTGGACAAATTCAACCGATGCTGCTGACTTTTATGGGAAAGACTTTTATTTTGATTCAATATAAATCCTATCTCGGGGCTTGAGGAGGGGAGGCAGGAGTTTTCTCCCCCCACCTTCTGTCTGCCTGTCTTCCTCTCTTTCCGCCCACACCCTCCGCTGCTTCCTCCCGCGATATCCCTCTGTTGGACTCGCAGGCTTATGTCATGTGGAAAGTGTCTTCACTGAAGCAGCTCGAGGACACTCAGAAGCCATTTCCATTTTCTGAGACATTTTTTCCCCCTCTTGGTGAATATTGTCATTCAACGTTCCCTCATCTGAGCGTGCGGAAAAGCCTTCAGGTTTTAAAGGGACTTGATCCCCTTTTCCAGACATATTCTCAGAGGATTAAGCAGTGAGGCCCAACTAAAGCACCCTTAATCAAATCACAATAAATAGCCCCCTCACAATGCAGGATGCCACATTTTCCTTTCTATCTTGCAGGGGATTTGTCCCAGGGAGGGGATATCACAGTTGAAACGGCCCAGTGCCTGCCGAGGGAATACAATGAGATGTGCTCCGTGTGTGGGAGTGTGCTGCACTTACATGTGCACTAGGTGTGTTTTAGTGTGCCTAAATGTATGTACATGTTGTTTTTGACAGCATGGTGATTCTCTTACAGCTCTTATTGCAGCTGGTGTTGGAGTCGAGCACGGCTTTTAGAGCCAAAATGGAGGGGTTTAAGTGTGCCTTAGGAAAGCTCCTGGCAGCGCATCCGTGTGGCCCTCCAGGGCAGCAAAAACAGCATTTACTGCAGATTAGAGCTCCTCTCAAGTGTTTCACAAAGTCAGGCTTAAGCTTGACAATTGTTCCCTGGGCAATCTAGCAACCTGCAACGGAGGAAAATGTCACCACACCTCACCCCATTTCGTTTTTTCTGGCCTCTGCTGGAGGTTAAAAAGGTTATGAATCAGAATTTGGTTTTGCACGTCACATTCCTCATTTTTTATCTCACACCAAATGATGTTATTGATTGATGACATTGTTGTATGCATGACTGTAGGTATAGGTGTATTGATGAACTCAATTTCTCCTTAATGAAAAGAAAACACAGGACCCATTTTGTGTCATTTTTATAAGCAATCTATCAATTTCACCTCAGTGAAATGTCTCAAGTTGCCAGCAGCCATGTTTGACCTTTTTCAGTGACTTTGTCTGTGAACTACCTACTTTTCCAAAGATGTAAGGCTCATTCATATGTTGTCTTCTTCCAGGTAACTACCCTCGGTCCTCCAACTACAGTGGGCCTGCCAGTACTGGCTACAGCGGCCCTGGCCCCGGCATGACCAACAGTCTGGGAATGAATGCTAGCAGCCCCATGCACGGCCAGGGGCCCGGCCAGCCCATACCTGTGGGACGCAGCCATGGCGCAGGCAGCCAGAACAGGGTGTACCCACCCATGGCCCCCAGCTCCCCCGGCATGCCCCAGCCAGCTGGGCCCGGGATGGGCCCTCCCTCTTTGGGTAGCTCTAACCGCAAGGCCCAGGAGGCAGCAGCAGCTGCCATGCCGGGATCTGCCAACTCGACACACAACAGGTGAGAGCAAGCACCCAGGGGCTCACTGTCTCTGAGTTTTGTAGATTAACATGTGTTTCTTTATGGCTGTAAGTTTTCACCCAAGTTTGTGTGTTTGTGACTTTTACATATTGCATTATTTATTTTTCTTCAAAATTTGCAAAAGATATCATGATATTTTTTTAACAAATTATTCCGGCCACAATAATCGAGAGTCTGATGTCTGTATATGTTCATATCATTCATTACAATTGCTCCTATGCTATTAGGTCCTACAAGTGATCTTGAAAAGACAGAAGAATAGATTCAATATTATTATTACATCGCTTTCAAAAAGAAAAGGCTCAAATTCTTCTGTAGGACTGAACCTATTTTAGAAATAGTGTTTTTATTTGTATTGAAGACACATGGCACATAGAAAATAATTTTTTTACATCAATGGGAACCACAGTTAAAGAATAAAAACAACTAGTGATCGTCTTAACCTTAACTACTATTGTACATCAATTGAAAAGCAATATTGGTATGCTTGAATAGGGGCTGGTAAGCATCTCTTCTCTATCTTACATCACTCTCTCTGCACGGTCGTGTGTGGGGAGGAGGGCTGAAAAGCACCAGAGAGAGTTTCTGTGCCACACAGTTTGTCTTTTTCTTCCATGAGTCTTTTCAGACGTGAAGGCATGAGTCGTTCTCTGGGGTTCCACGCTTCTGTGAGCCATTTGCCGAGCCATCCCTATTTTCACACATCTCATAAAGTGCCTGACATTTTGATAGCTGGCACTATACGCCAAGTGCCATTTGTTGTAGAGATATTGGCCTGTGAGCCGACTGTATGGGTTGAATACAGCACTGTCAAAACATAAAAGAAGGAAAAGCAAACCCCAGATTTAACTGTGAAAACACCAGAGACCGAGGTGACACCAAGCACCTTATCACAAACACAAAGCACTTTGATGCTTTAACAGCATATGAGTTAATATTATGTTTCCATCAGTGTTGGAATTTTAAATGTAAGCGTCTGTGCAGCATCGGAGACCAGGGCTGTTGTGGGATTGTGTGGGCAGTAAAATGTTGCTGAACCCTGCCGGGGGATCTAGTGGAAACATGGCCGTCTTCTGAGAGGAAGTGTGGATTTCTGCGCTTCCTCCTATCAGTGCGGGGGTTCGTCTAACAATGCATCATGGGTGCCAGCATTCTGCATGCTGTAGTGGCGAATGAACATTTGTCAATGTTCATTCCTATTTCTCATGATGCATGACTCCACCTGGAGACTGTGAGCTAGCAATGAAGTTTTTGTTTTTGTTGGGGGTCTGTTGGTGCCGGTCTTCAGGCGGCCTCCTTATGCGAGGTCCCAAGCCCAGATGCAGCCACGTCATCCCACCTCCACCCACTGGCCTGCACCCTACCCCACCTCCACCTCCACCTGTCCACCACCTTCCCCTCCACTCAGACCTCACCATCCACCCATCCTGCCACCCTCACATTCACAGCACCATAGGTAGGTCCACCCCCATCGTGATGTGTGTGTGCATGCCTTTAAAGGGATAGTAAGGATATGCTTGTATGAGGTACTGTATCAGTGTATTACGTAGATTGTGGTCAGCACGACCAAGTTTGAGTCACAGACAGGATGACCACCACAGCAGCAAAGCATGTACTGCTGTTATTGTTCACCGCATTACCTTGCCAGGTACATATCCCTTTGATCCGAACTGAAGCCGTTTTTCCAGCCGAAGCGACAAGACCCCACTGAAAAATACAGTAACTTTATCTTACAGAATATGGTAGATGCTGGTCTACTTTTGCCTCGATACGAAAGTTTGTTTGGGTTAATATTTGAATTTGTCGAATCAAAACTAATCAAAGTCACACAAAAACACATACAAACTAGCCAGTCGAGAAGACAAAGATTACTGTATTATTTTAGTGGGGTCTGTTGGCTTTAGTGAAACATCTTCAGTTCCCCTGCAGAAAGGGTTGTGTTACTGTATGGCAAGTAATGCTGTGATAATATTCGAAATATAGCGTACACTGATATTGATCGTCTGATATAAGCTGTGGTGCCCACGTCCACAACAGTTCATTCATTTGCTTTCGGTACTTATGTTTTTCAAACCTGCCATCTACTGTAGGTATTACACTGACTACGGGTAAGCACATCATTCAACCCCACTTTAAAACATCCAACCTATCCTTTTAAAAAGAAACTGTCTTCATGAATGTGTTTGTGTGTCAAACTGCTATGGAAATGTCTCATGCTAAACAGAACTGAAAGTGATCATGATGATATTTCTCACAAGCTCCCTCTGAAAACAAAACAAGAGGAGTCATCATGCGATCATTGTAATTGCCATCATCACCTTCAGCATCATGACTGCAGTCATCATTATCATCATCAGCGCGTCTTAGTCATGGCAACAAGTGAGCGCAGGCAGCATGATGCACGGACACACTCACGGACACACTCACTGAGTTTTAGATTGTTATGTGCACTGTGTTTGCATTTTGTGGGGAGGCTGGCAGTATGTGTGATTAATTACGTGCATCAGCAGGGCCAAACACACACACACACACACAGTCACACACACACAGTCACACACAGCAATGCAAATGCTGGCCGAGCCATTAGGAGACGGCTGGTCTGTCAATAAGAAGTGGCATGACATGATCCCCACTGCTGGGACCAATCAGACTGGCTGTCAGTCTCTCCTCACATTCAGCCAGTCTTCAGAAAGGTGTCGCGCGCTCGCTGTGGCGCTGCCGGAGGAAAGGGCTCTCTGTGCCACTCTGTTTGTTTACATATCTGTCTGCAAAGTGTGTGTGTCTTCACTCATTTCTCTTCTCTGTGATCCCTTCTGATCTACCATGGACTGTGAAAACATCCCTGTGTGTCTTGCCTTTGTTCGGCGTTATTAATGTGTTGTGTTTTTACTGCACTGCAAAGTTCACATTTGAAGCAAAAAGTCCAGTGCGATGATGACTTTTGATTTTGATTTTATGTCGGAAATCTTTTTTCTGTTTGGCTGCGATGCCTGCACTTGCAAACTTCCAAATTGCTATCGTATTTATTCAAAACAAAGCATTACTTCGCCTTGCACTGGAGAAAAACTGAACAGAAACGGCTTAGAACAACAAAAGACTGGTATCTCGCTTGTTTAAAAAAAGAAATCTGCAGACTAGGTGAGACTGTAGTTTTCAAAGCAAATCAGTGTTAAAAAAATGTAATTGTCATAATGCAGCTGTCTTCTTTATTCATAAATATTTATTTAAAGCAATTATGAATTAGTTGTAGCTTTGACTGATTTTAAGTTTTTTAAAAAGCAACCTACATTTTTGTTAAGATGGGCATCTTTGGAGAACACACCCGTTTCTGTGCTGCCAGTCTCCTGCTTAGAGTTTTCCTTGCCTGCTATCGCTCATTCTCCCTCTTTCATCCGTCCCCGTCTGTTTCTGTTCTCTCCTCCCACCTGTTTCACTCTTTTTACCGACTCTCCCAACTGTATCGCCCTCTCCCTCTCTGTGCAGCTCTGTTATCCTACCCAGACTGTTTTATCTCCCTCAGTCTTTCTTCCTCCCAATTTGCTTTTTGTTCTCCGCTGTCTCCAGCGCGGCCTTGTTATGTTTTTCTTCCTCAGATCCCACTTTAGAACATCTGACGGAGATCAGGAGAAAATTGGCCTCCGAAAAACCTGCAGTTAAAGGCTCCAGTTCCCCGTTTGCTCTCCAGATCTCAGCGCAACATTCTGAAACATTCAGACCTAGTTCCTCTCCGCCTGAGAAACAAGTTGTTAGTCGTAGCACATGTCTAGCTTCACTCTTTGATCCACCAACCCAGAGTGAACTGCCACAGCCACCGCACTGCCTAGCCTCCATATCATGGGGCTAGTTAGCGGGTGATGTCATTGGATGGTCTCTTCTTCTTCTCTTCTTGAATGTTCCTCACTACATTCCCACCAATAAACCCTTTACATGTCCACCTCTCATACCCAATATCAAACCTCCCCTGATTCACACACACCCTCACACATTAGTAGACACACTCCAGCTTCATTACGCTGAGTGAAAAGAATGCCAAATGAGCAGAGGAGGGCCACTTCTGGTATCCCATGGCTGCAGGCGTAGGTCGTGATTAAATCTTCATAAAGTCTGGCATGAGTGTTTTCTTCCCTGGAGGCCTCCAACCTCCAACTGGAATCAGAAACAAATGTCCCACTTTTATCGGTTAATCAAGTTGATTAGTGGTTGAGGGGAAACAGGGTCTAGAGTTTAGGAAACGTACAAAAGAACCCTGTTGCTCTACCTTAAAGGGGACCTATCATGCAAAATGTACTTTTGTACGTCTTTTATACATGAATATGTGTCCCCGGTGTTCCAGGGAACTCACCAAGTGTCAGAAAACACAACCCTCTCTATTTTCCTCCATACCCAAATCTCTAAAAAAGGGGCTGCAAAGGATCTGATGAAAACTGATCCAGATTTGAACACTGTCCTGACGTCAGGACGGTGGCGCTACGGCTATTGGGCCAACTCCACCAATCAGGAGGAGACAGCCACGGCCATTGCCGTTCGAAAGCACTGGAGACGCTGTAGTACATATGCCAGGCCAGTAGATGGTGCTGTTCTCACAGAATCTGCCCTTGCAAAAACAGGGGTAAAAAAGTGCAAATTGAGCGAAATGAGGCATGGCTAAAATGCATGATCTGTTTGGTAGTATAAATATGCCTTATATAGGTATGGTCCTACACTATATTATTATAATATAGCATGATAAGTCCACTTTAAGTTAAATGTGTCAAATAGCGGACACTAAAAAACCTGCTAATCATAATTAATTGTAATCTAGATTCTATTGATGCTAATTATTTTAATATTTAAAAAATGTTATAGTGGTTTCCTGAAATGATAATATGACTGTGGGAAATAGCATTGGTTGTATGGAAAGTTGCTTCCCTTGCTGCCAGTTGTCAGTATGATGAATTGCAGTGTAAAAACTCTGACATAGTAATAACACGGACGGTGTCAAACCCTGTCAGTGTGGAGGAGGTACACGTTTGTTTTTGAAGAAAGGTACGGTACAACATTTATCCGGGGCTGTGGATTGATGTTAGGGATTTTTTATTTTTTTGGAAAAGAGAAGAGAACAGGAAGTATTAAAAGGTATAAGCTTTTCTTGGCAGCAGCTTCTGAGGACAGAATTGGCTTTTCAAATGACTTTCCAGCGCTGCCGGCGACACTCTACACAAAGTTCCTGGAGCTATAGGAACGGGCTCTGTCGGAAAAAATAAGCACTTAGTAGAAGAAGAGCAAAGCTCAGAAAAAAAAGTCGTAAATCAAAGGGAAATTGAAGGGAGAAAAATGTTGGAAGAGGGGAGAAGAGAGGAAAGGAGAGTGCTCCCAGGCAAATCCTCGCCAAATAATTCATTTCTGACCTCCTTAGTAAGTAAATTTGCTAAATAAATAAGAGCAGCGCTTGAATGTCAAGAACGAGGGATGCTGCCTGTGGTGCTTTGTCGCTCGCAGTCTTGGCAGTGTTGCGGCGCGCTCTGCTTTCATTAGATGGGCAAAATAAATGGCTTCTCCTCTATCCATCCTGAGCTGTTTGATGTTCGGGAAGGAGGGAGTAGCTTTTCTCTGGATTTAATATGTTAAAAGCTGTCCTTTTATTTTTTGTGGGGGGTTTATTCTGCCGCCCCTTCCTTTTTGTATGTGTGTGTGTGAGGGTGTGTGTGTGGTGAGTTGAGTCAGGAGTTTGGAGGAGCCATGAGCCCAAGCTGCCCTAAGAACAGATTGGGTCCATATATAATTCATGGCCTCCAGCCGATCCACTCCATCCTTCCATCCAGCAGCCTCTCTCTGGCTCTCTTTTCTCTCACTTTCTTACACACACTCTACACACTCACACACACAAAGCAGAGTGATCGATAGGCAGGGACGCTCACACACACACACACACACTCACACACACACTCACACACACTCACACACACTCCTGCAGTCCCAGCGCTTCTGCTGTCTCGTCCAGTTAGCAGCGCTGGGAGGCATCGGCGCGGCCTGTCACCACGAATGAAGGACAAAGGCGCTGCCACTTCTAGAGAGACACCGTCAGCTGGTTGGCTGGCACCTCGTAACCATGGCATCCCCTTGGCAACAGCGCCCACCCTGCGCATGAACACAAGGACACGCTCAGACACCGACACCGACACACACACACACACACACTGCCCACACGGCCTTCTCTGATGCCCTTCACACATGTGGACTGAATAGCAAAAGGAGATAGGTGTGTGTGTGTGTGTGTGTGTGTGTGTGTGTGTGTGTGTGTGTGTGTGTGTGTGTGTGTGTGTGTGTGTGTGTGTGTGTGTGTGTGTGTGTGTGTGTGTGTGTGTGTGTGTGTGTGTGTGTGAGCATGTGTGTGTGTGTGTGAGCATGTGTGTGGTGAGAAGGCAACAGTTTTTTGTTTCTATGAACGTATTTAAAAGGTTTTTATTTCAACCGTGTGAGTTGAAGGTTTCTCTGCCCTAATGGTGTCTGGACAGGCCGAACAAAAGATCGAACACCCAAGCAGTATTTTTGTATACATCTTCGCTGTAATGTGGTGTCAAAACTCTCACACTAACTTTTCTTAAGGAAAAATAAAAGCTCAGAGAAAGAAGAGCCTCCCTGTCTCTCTCTCTCTCTCTCTCTCTCTCTCTCTCTCTCTCTCTCTCCTCTCTCTCTCTCTCTCTCTCTCTCTCTCTCTCTCTCTCTCCTCAGGCCACTCCTTGACAACAAACTGAGAGTGCACTGGCCTGATGGTGTTAGGAAGATGTTTGTATGTTTCTCAGTGAGAGTGTGTTCCCTCGGCTCAGTCTCATGGAACAGCGATTACCTCCAGCTCTGGGGCCCTGAGCTGCAGATACGCCCCCCCTCGGCCCACCAGGGACTCATACACACACTACTCAGGCTTCTTCTTGCCTTCATTTCCATCCCTCCTTCTCTCTCCAGCTCCCTTCTTCTTTTCTTCCTCTCCCTTTATATCCATCTCTCCTCTATCTTCCTTCGCTCTTTCTCTCTCTGCGGCAACAGGATGGGGTTTTTTTTTTTTCCCGGCACAAAGGTGCCTGAGAGCAAGATGAATGCGCTATGCCGTTTCTTTTTCTCCCCCCCCCTCCCCGAAAGCGGCACATGCATATATTAAGTGTGATTAAACGCTGTGCAATGCCTCCATCAAGTGCTTTCTAATGGGCTTTTTTATGACATGAATTAGTCATAATGGGAGAGCGCCACAGCTGAAAACCTCCAACCACTGTTGTTGTTGTTGTTGTTGATTTGGATATTTCACCATTCACATGAGAGCTTTTGCATATATCGCTCAAGGTGGGTGAGGGGCGTTGTTACAGTACAGTATGGATAAATGAGGTTCGAGGGCATTTAGCAACTTATTTGTCCTGGCTGGCTTATCTGCGCTCTGTTTTGTGGGAGTTGGCATGCAGCGTACATTTTCACTTGAGAGAGAAGTTGCAACGATCAAAAGGTACATTTATTTCCGTGTCTTGACTCACAGAAAGCTTTTTAGGGAACACGTAGGCAGCAAGGAAGGAGTCTCAATCCCCCCCCCCCCCGTTATAGGGAAATGGGGCCAGATAAGCGTGGATTTGGTGTGAGCTTGTTTCTTTGCCATGGAGCTCCCCTGTGCACCTCGGCCCCCATAGAGGGATTACATATGTATCATCAGCCGTGCTCTATGACTAATTACATCTGTGAGATGAGATTATGAGGAGGTTTACCAAGCCAATCCCTCCTCTTAGGCTATGTGTATCGGTTCCAACACGAGGTATTACACTATGTGTCTGTGTGAGTGAGTGAAAGAGAGAAAGATGCCAGTTAGGAGGAAATTGACTGACATAAATCCCAATAGATTTTTTATTTCGGTCTGCATAAAACTGTTGCATTTCGGGCCAAAAACTCCTCCTTGTGGTCTGTCATCGCCCAACACCGTCCCAAGGATGCCTTCCTGCCTACCTGCTTTCTTCCTTAATGTATTCCTTTACCATATCAACTACTCCCTCATTTGTCTTCCCCTTCTCAAACCTCCTCTGCCTGCTTTCTTTTCTAATGTCATTCTCAGTCTTCCACCTGTCATCTCTTGTTCATTCATTCTTTTAGGCTTTTCTCTCTCTCTCTTCATCTCACATTGTCTCTCTGCGTCTCTATCCTCCTTTTCTCCAAATCCTTTTTTATGTGGTTGTCCAGGAGATAATCTTGAGTCAGCAGGAGATAGACCAAATTGTTCCAAACACGGTGTTCCCTTTCAGTCCCTGTGTCACTGGCTTTGGCCTGCCTGGCATGCAATGATAGACGTTGCCTTCAATCAATCACACACACACACACACACACACACACACACACACACACACACACACACACACACACACACACACACACACACACACACACACACACACACACACACACACACACACACACACACACACACACACACACACACACACGTGGATGGCTAGCGTTCAGCAGGTTGAAGATAAGCCCCACTGATGTCACTTGCGACACCATGTGATGAGCCGCCTGAGAGACAGAGAGAGGGAAGGGAGGCTGAGGGAGGGAGATTGACTTCTTCCGTCACCATGGCAACAAATAACATGATCCTCTCCAAAAGCACACCTTAATTAGTTAAATTATGACTTGTGGGAGAGGGAGGGAGAGGGGGAAAAAAGGGAGGGGAGGCGGATTTATAGAAGAAAAAATAGCAAATAGAGGATCGGAGAGTTTTTTTCGTTTCTGATGCCGCATGCTCATCTTCAATCTTTTGGAGGAGGTGTTTGTTTGATCAGGGATATGTGGTTTTCTGAGCTTTCATTCTGACTTTCAGACATACATGCTGCTCGGTTTTTACTACAACATTAAGCATGGCAGCGCTAGACTGCCAACTATCATCTTCGTACGATTCTGTGACTTCTGTTCTTCTGCAGCTTTCACTGTGACCCACTTATCTCTCCACAGTCTGTCATTACATTGTGAATCCAAACTGGATTTGTCTCTCCCAATTCCACTAACATCTCTCCTCTCTTTCCGTGGTAGGCAGGGCAGCTATCAGGGCCAGAGCATCAGCCAGGCCAGCACCATGGCTACCACTGTGCCCTACAGCCAGCCAACGGGGAACAACAGCTCCGCCATGAGCAACGCACAAGCTCCAGCATACAACATGCCACCTTCAGGTATACTAGCTCAATGCTAACCAACAGAGTTATGGTCCATATGTCCTAGGGCAGGGGTCAGCAACCTTTACTATCAAAAGAGCCATTTGGCACCCAAAAAAAGTTTGTCTGGAGCTGCCGAACATTTGATCACACAGCTTATAAAGTTTTTTATATAGTTATACTATATACACAAAAAACAGTTTGTTGAATATTTGATATCAACAATAAATACAAATCTTGAAAGTATAATGCTATTTTTACCGGTTTCGCATAAGAAGCAGCAAATGCTGTGTGCTTGATCCGGAAATCCTTTTCAAGATGACATTATTTTTGGTTTGCTAAATTCCCACAATACAGCATGAATGTAAGCCAGGATTGCATTAAAAGCAGAGGCATTTTTACACTCTGAATTAAACTCATTTTTTTCAAGGCCGGGGGGTCTAGAAATGTGGATTAGCCACCTCCAGACGTAGAAGGATTTCCCCTTCCTAGCCAAGCCTGTTCATACAGCTGTCAGCCTCCTACATCCCTCCATCAACACACATATATTTGACCCCATGTTGACTTACTTATCTTACATTGCAATGTACAGAATACATGTTGATAAATAGAAAAAAAGCCGTGTGAGTCGATGTGAAAGGGTACTCTGATCTTCTCGAGTTTGACCTATGTGTTTATGTTGAATGTACTGCTGAACTCGCTCAGGATTGTTGACATTCCGAGCAGAAGTAGAAAGCGAGAGAACTAAAAGGGGTGAAAGATAGTAAAAGGCTAAGAAATCAAGAGAGTAACTTTCTCAGAGCTCCTGTCGAGTTGGCCTTCCAGTGAGCAAAGATGAATGTGGTGCATCACTCTGTCTTACAGCCCTTCACCCCGCTGCGCTGCATTGTTGCTAAACGCGCCTCACAGTGGCGCCCTAAATGAAAAGCGCCTTTTATTTAAAACCGAATATCAGAATGCGTGACATTTGGAAAAACTTCAAACGAATTACAGTGCCAAGGTTCCTCAAAACTCATCTGGTTTGCCCCTGGGCACGGTAAAAAGCCATTAGTTTTCCCACCGTGCCGCCGCTCACAAGGGAAAAATAAAGACCCAGAGCCTTGTATTCAAGGATCTTTTCTTTCTGTTGATAAGAAAAATATGCAGCTGGCTTTAAGGGCCTCTGCTCTTCTTCAATTAGAAACCTTGTACACAAATGTCTTTGAAAACAGAAGCAAGTGTTCTCGTCAGACAACATCTCTTGAATGCTAACCTTCCCATTCTGTTGCCACTTTGAATATTTGACAACATCCCAAATTAATTCTCCCAAATCTGAGGATGTGCAGCCAGCAAGGTAGGAGTGCGCTGGCTGGCTTTAAGTGGAGTCTTGCCTCTTTCTCTATGTCTTCTCTAAACAGAAGTATTTTTACATGTTTCTATTACAATTGTCCCTTTGAGATGAATGCTGTCCCGACATGTAAAGTCCCCTGGAGAAGACAGAAAGAAAGAGGAGAATTAAATATAATTTAAACCATTTTACATTGTCCGACTCTGTCTTTGACATTATACAAACTATTATCATGCAGATTTCAGCACACAGGAAGAAGCCACGGTCATTTTAGGATCCTAAATCATGTTGAATCTAAGTAAACATCTTCATTCCAACAAAGTTTGCCTGCCCATAGATGCTTTGATTATATATCTCAGCTGTTTTTGCTTGTGAAATATCCGTTCAAATGTTTGTGTTATTAAATGTCTCCTTATTCTTCGTGAAGGAGACATGGGAATGTCGGGAGACGGGATGATGAGCCCTGATGTGAAAGCGAAGGCGGACGTAAAAGACGACAGCGTCCCCGCCAACGAGCCTCACAAACCAAAGGTACACAGTTGACCTTTATCGTCTTGCAATCTTTTTTCTGCAATTCCCTTTCTCCCTCTCGTTTTTATTTTTGTTTTGTTGTGTTTTTTTGATCTTTCTCCCCTAATGAAGCAAGCCAAATCTGATCAGCATATGCTGCCTCAGCACAGTGGGCTATTTCTCTCTTGTTTTCTCGCCATATCTAATGATTTGTTTAACATTTACCATTCCTAATGTTTTCCTCGCTTTGTTTTAGCCCCCAGCACTCTCTCCTTACTGATGTTTTGGCAGCCCGAGCTGCAAAAAAACACACACACACACACACACACACACACACACACACTCACACACACACACACACACACACACACACACACACACTCACACACAGGCATATTTGTTAATTTATTTTATATAACGAAAAGACAAGAAGCCACAGACTGGCCTTTCCAGTAAGACACACACACACACAAGCACATGTACACCATCCTTCTCGTAACACTACTTCCTCAGTGTCTCACACATACACACAAACACACACACGTCCCAATACACAATGCTGACTTCTCATTTTGCCCTACAATTGCAGCTCGGCTTGGCTCAGCTCAGCAACAACAGAACTCTGCTCTTTGCTCTTCTCTTCCCCCTCCTCTTGTTTTTGCTTAACAACCCCTTTTTCTCTCTCTCTCTCTCTCTCCCTCAGCCACACACTCACACAGACGTGCACAAACACACTCACACGCCTCCATCACATCCAATACACGTCTTTTCCCTCCAAATCCCTGTCTTTTCTTTTGCTGATTACGGTAGTAGGGCCTTTTGAATTATTTAAGGCAGTCAGAGCAGCCAGAAAGACCCCCAGTGCTCCCAAAAGAGATGATCTGTCTGCCAAGAGAGTGAGGAAGAGAGAAAGGGGAGGGGGGGAGTAAAGGGAGAAAGATAAGGTTTTGCTGACATGAGCATTCTGTACACAGACCAGAAGCACTTGTCAAGCTGTTGTTCCTTTTTTTGCAGTCTCTTTCTCACACACTTACACACTGGCGAATATACACATGAACTGAAGGACAAGACTCACACTCACATACACTGATGGGAACTAACATGGAATGTCACACACACACATGTATGGAATATGGAATGAATAGATGAATACATGCTGGTCTGCATTTATGCATGTTGAAAAGACACAATGGCAGAATGCAGATTCCTCACACACACTTACTGTCCCCCTGGCTTTATTTCAGTAGTTTGAAGGTACTTGTTCTTTTGTAATTAACTTAGCCTTGCGCCAAAAGCTTGATGTGCATCTGCATTGATTGACAGCTAAACCCAAAAATGCTGACCAATCAGGGAAGACTGGGCTCTTTTCAGAAGGGTAGGAGATAAGCAGAAAACAGCTCCAGTCGGGCAGGCAGTACGAGGAGAATACATCTTTTTTCAATGAAAATTACAGAATGTCAGCTTTTTCTTGTTATATCAGAAAATAAACAATTCAATCTAAAAAGTTGTTTAATATGACTACCGGAAAAACATGTATTTTGAACTCGCCTACATTTACCTGGAGAGCTACATTTACTAAGCCGGTTCAAATGATTTATACACTATTTATAAATGGTATATCATTTGTTTATAAAGCTTTAGGAGAGTGTTTATAGTGACTATAGCTGACACATAAATGTAACGGACGAAAATGCAATTATTTCGCTCTAAAATGTAGTGAAATCCAAATATAACTTAAAATCTTAATACTGAAGTGGAATTGAAGTACCTGAAGAATCGCTTGACACACATTATGAACTTGCATTACAACTCAAACACACACGTCTCAGTTTCCTTGCACACACACATCGACTCATTGTGTTCTATCTTCTGCTGAAAACTCATAGTCTGACCTCACTGTTGTTGTGAGAGTAGAGGATCATACCATTGTGTTATACTGATAGTGAGGAGGTGTGTGGAAGAAAACAGTGATTCTTTTACAGAAATGAACTTGTAGTCCTCTTCCTCCCCCCCCCCCCCCCCCAGCAGCTACAGGACGGCTACAGCAACACTAACAGCAGCAGCTCCCAGCAGTGTGTGTCGCAGCCCACCACGCCAGGGGGTGCGCTGCCCGTGCCCTCCCCCCTCTCCCCCAGCCCAGCCAGCCTGTCCTCCTACCACGGAGACGACAGCGACAGCATCAGCAGCCCCCCCTGGCCCCTCAAAACCCCCTCCAGCCCCGTAAGTACTAAAGGCTCAATCACTATTGGCTGGATGGGTGTGTGTATTTACTGGATAAGTAAAGGAATTACATGAACATATTGACACAGAAACCAAACCAAGCGAATTAATGATCTGTGAAACACATTTAAATTCCCTTTATAGACAATAATGTCAGTATAAGCTGTTTGATTGATTTATTTATGACTTAAGGATTATTGTGTAATTACATGATCAAATGCTGGTTCTTGGACTACAGAAGTATTTTTAAACCTGGACTGAAGCCAGACATGTCTTGGTAAGATTACACTTTGTCCACCAATTTGAACTTGAGGGACATAAATGTGCTGTGAATGAACTTGGAAGTAAACACAAGCTGCTTACTTAACACAATGCTCTAAATATTTTGGATTTGTTTTGCTTGGTCATTGAACCAAGGGCCTACTTCAGAATTTGTAAATATGGGATTAAACTTTAATGATCCTTGTGGGGAGAGTGAGTTGTGGTTAAAGCAGAAAACTGCAATAGGAGACAGCCATAAACCGCACATGAGAAGTCAACGAAGCCACCGTGACGTCATCAATATGTTTTGGAGACAGTGGTACATGCTTAAAACAAAATAGGATGTCATTTACTGGAAAAGCACCCAAATGTTTTTCTGTCTCTTCGTACAATCGAACGCTGAAAAATAAATGTTAAAGTTAACGTTCATCAACTGAAAACATGCTGTAAAAGAGATTTAAGACAAAAACACCCCAAAACCATTCCACAGCTATTTAACATATAATGTATTCAGTGCCATAGATACACATTGCTGCTTATCTATTTTGACTTTGAATATCTAAGCGACCTGTCAATCTCAAGGTAGCTACGCCCTGAAGCATACCAAGCTTTGTTTATGTATTATCTTACTAATGGGACAATCATTTACAAAATAAACATTTAGCCTATTAAAGAAGACTTGAATCTATTGATTGAGCCCATAAACTCATTAAAAACTCATTTACTGAGGTAATACCTTTAAGTGAGAAGTAGGGTCGTTTTTTTATAGACTTCTATACAACTTTGTAATGACTTCTTATTGCGATGAATGGAACCACCTACTGGCCATTGGAAATAATGCAGGTTTTACATTGGCTTCACATGTGTTTCAACATGAACGTAGCTGATTAAGAACATTTTCATTTCCATAAGCTAACTTTTTTTTCTGCATCTCTCACCAGAAACCCAACCCCAACTCCTCCTCTCTCAGTGGGGAGCGAATCACGCGGCTCTTTGATCTTGGTGTGGAGCCGGAGAGGCGGGGCTGGGTGGAGCGATACCTGACCTTCATGGAGGAGAGGGGCACGCCTGTTGCTCAGCTTCCCACTGTGGGCAAGAAGCCCCTGGACCTGTGGAAGCTCTACATAGCTGTTCGTGAGATAGGAGGCCTCGCCATGGTAACGTTTAGAAAACACATTTGATTTTTTGGGGGGGGGGCAAAAACATGAACTCCATAGCGAGATAACAGACAGATTAAACAGTTGATAAGCCTTCAGTCAATGTGTATCAGCAATGTGCATTAAACCAACATGGCATATGCGTTGCGATGGTAGCAGGAAACGGCATTGCACTTCATACCCAAAAGTATATAGATATACAAACATTACATATCTTATTTCAAAACCTTGGGCATTTTATTTTGCTGCAGTAGCCTCTTCTTTTCTACGAAGGATTTTCACACAACTTGAAGGGATTTGGTCCCTTTCAGCCACAATAATGAGGTAGCCACTGGTGTTATGAAATAAGGTTCCAGTTCAGGTCCGGGCTGTGTGCATGCTGGTCAATCCATTCCTCACTGCACCTGGAAAAAGATTTGTACTCAGACCTTGTCGTGCTGAAAAGGAAAATGACCTTCCCAAAAACTGTTGCTGCTAGTTGCAACTTATAACCTTTAAATAACAGCCCCAGAGTAAAAATATGTGTTCACGGGTGTCTACATACAGCGATGTGAAAAGTATGGGTAAGAGTAGCAGACACATATGTAGATTAAGTACAAAAAACATTAAATGTACAGCCATGGACTTCATTATTGTTGATTTCATTCAGCAGGCTGTGGTCAACCATACTCCAGGCAAAATGACAAGAGCCTGGCTGATGCTGCAGGGATACATAAACATGAATAAAAAGGACATGATTTGACTTATTTATGTCTTTTAATTCCTTTAACCCCTCATCCACTCAGGTAAACAAGAACAAGAAGTGGCGCGAGCTGTCCTCCACCCTGAACGTGGGCACATCCAGCACCTCCGCCAGCTCGCTGAAGAAGCAGTACATCCAGTTCCTGTTTGCCTACGAGTGTAAGACGGAGCGGGGGGAGGAGCCGCCGGCAGACAGCAGCAGCATGGCCGGGGGGGACAGCAGGAAGCAGGTCAAGATACAGCCCCCCTCACCTGGTAAGGCCTGAAAACACACTCATTTGCTGTTTCCTTTTTTTTTCACCACTCAGATCCCCCATCTGTCTGTAGCCAAACAACAGGTGCTGCTGATCAAACTACAGGTGTCAGGAATCTTCAGAGCAACAGTGATCTGTATTCATGACTATGTGCTGTGTACATCATAGACACAACAAATGAGTCTGACACCTTTTAGTGAATGTAGCTGCCATGCTAGCATCTTGGAGGTAATTGTTGGGTGTAGAAATGTTTATAAAGCAGGAATTTTTTTTTAAATATATTGTTAGTAGTTGTCTCGGCTACTGTACACATCACCAGACTATAAATAATGATGGGATTCAGTATGAGCCTAACAACATAAATGATCCATTTCCAACAGTGCAAAGACAGTTCATAGAGCAGTGGCAGTTATAGAGTTAGTTAACCTAATTAACATCCTTTTTTATAAAAACCGTTAGAGCTGAGACAAAAATGTCAAATTGTCCCTTTAACAGCTTACAGTACCATGGCCAGCCAGTGTGTGCTACATTATTATTAATAATAATATCTTACAAGAATGCAACATCAATACATGAACACAGATGAAAACCCAACACGGTGATCATTAGCACTAATGAGATGATTCTTAGTTTAATAAAGGTACGCTCCAATACGAACACTGTGCTTTCGAGGAAATGTAATACCGTTTTAGTGCAGCACCGTAACACAAAGGGTTTGCGTTCTGTTTGTATACATTACCTGTTCACACCACGTCTGTCTCTCGGCACAATTATGACGTGAGGATCAGCAGAGGAGAGGGAAAGAGTTGGAGCCATGCGGAGCGGTAAGGTCACGTCTCTAATTTGCAGCGGAGATGAGAAAAGTGACCCTGGCTTTTAAATAGAACATCAGAGCACTTCACCTGCCTGAGACACTGCAGATTGCTTTTCCTGGTGGGTGGGAAAGAGCATCTCCTTTTATTTGCATACACACACACATACATACAGTACACATTAGCTACCTATATAAACACATGTGAATTATTTCATATTCCCTCTTGCTCATAACACTTTATAATCTACAATTTGGCCCTCTCTCATCTATTGAACGAGACCTAACCAAGGCCAATTTCACAGAGTCTCTGTTCTCTGCTGATGGCACCGTGGGACTCAGATATGGAGTCTATATTGGGAAATATGAAAAGGTCAATGTTTGTTCCACCTTTTGGATATGCAGCATTAAACTGTAAAGTACTAGTTGCAGCATATGCTTGAAGTAAGTTCTGCTGCATAATTTTTACGGCACCTGCATTTAAATCATCCTCAGAGTTAAAAACCCTGCAGCTAATTATGTAGTACAGCTGTTAGACAAAACCAAAAAAAACATAATTCTACACCGTGCATTTAAAATGTGAAGGGTAGTTAAATATTTGTGTTGCTTAGCTCATGTTTAAGCTCTGCTAACATTGTAATCACCACAGATGAGAGGTCAGGGGTGATAAACCTCCAGGTTAGCTAAACTTCATCGAAAGAATAAACCGAGGCAAACAGTACAATTATTTACCATACTTTTCTGTTTTGAATATCCAGCACAGTTAAACACCCAGTGATTGTACTTACTGTAGCTGAGACAAAATAATCTGTGCGATGAGGGATTATTACTATGATTGAAACAATCAAATTATTCTGTATTTCTTAGCTTTGTGATTTTTCCGACTTCATAGATAGTATTGTTTTAACAGATATTGTTTATCTTGCAATCATTCAATTAATATGTAATATTAAATATTAAATCAAATGTATGACAAATTGTCTGCTTTTGCAGTTTTAAATCAAACTTAATTTTAGCTGGGATGTCCCAGGAAACCGGGGCAAAGAACGATTGATATTGCTGTGAAGTAATAAACTGTACATCACAGGAAAGCATCCACCCTTCATCCAGCTACTGTTGACTTGTTTACAAGCGTTAATCTTGTCTGAATGCAGTGTCGCAATGTTGCCATGTTCCTGGACATTAGCAATTACTTTGATAAGATAAAAAAAAGATATGTGTAACCTAAATAAATTATAACACTTCATTTCCCAAACAATCGAATAAAATGAATGACAGTTGAAGCTCTTTTTATATAATGTCAGAAAGTCTTTCATGTGTTTGCCTATTATGGGCCAGTGCATCTGTCACCAAACACACAAACAATTGCAGTTAGAGGTTCGATTCAGACGCAACCAAAGAAATGACACAGGGAAACATAGTCTGTTTGAGAAACTATGAATACCCCTTTAGAAAAAGTCCCATCCATTTCCATTTCACGCCTCTGTCTTGATCTACTATCCATGCTCTCCTGCTGCAAAGTGCAAACTGTCTCCCTGACACCCTGCCAGCCTATATATAGACTGACAGCCCAATGATGTCACACAGGGAGCTTGTCCAGCGGGTGTGTGTGCGTGGTGGTGGTGGGGTGTGTGGAGTGATTAATGAGAACTGGAATGTAGAACGTAAACAAACTCGACCTCGCCGTCACCTTTCATTCACAAAACTCGCTCGGCTGACTGACTTTTTTTTTCTCCCCCCCCCCCCCCCTTTAACCACTACCAGCCCTCTGGATTATGTCACCCGCACACATACACACACAGCCTCTCGTGCGCACACACATCAAAGGCCAGCCTCCTTTTTTTGTACACACTCTTTTTCCCCTCTGTCATTCTTCCCTGTGAATGTGGAGCAGAGGGCACATGAGTTCACGCTCTCCTCCAGCTCTGTAACCCCACGGCTCGGTGTTATGTATCCGTCTGTCTGCTTGCCTACTCTTGAGGAATAGTAAACCTCTTAACCTTGGCTAACCCGTTTGTACTTCTCTCGTGTGTGAGTGTGTGCGGGCATATCCCAGGAAGTGGAGAATCCCTAATGCTCACCGGCCCTTCCTTGCCCTCTCTTCTACCCCGGCTCATCATCAGGGGGAAACCACCTCTCCCTCTCTCTCTTTCTCTCTCTGTGTCTCTTTCTCTGATGGTGTAGAGGCAGGGGGTATCATTGAATAATTCAGAATTAGCATGAATTTTTAAAGCTTAAGTCTTTCTTCTCTTTTTTCTTTTTCTTCCCGTGGAAACGTGCGGTGCAGTGAAAGGCCACTGAGGCTGTTCCAGAGAAAGCCTTCTTACGCTAAATGCTCATTAGGACGCTTTCATATTCTCTCTTCCACCGTCTTTGTCATCTTTTAGCTGAAACGCTCCACAATTTCCATTAAACCTGCTTCTGGGAATTTGTATCCCTTGGTTTATCTGGTAGGGGGCTCTTTGTGTGTATTAGGCTCTTATTGGTCGGCACTCTCATACTTTACGAGTCACCTGAACTTCCACAGAAATACGGTGTCATAACAAGAGAGCACACTAACCCAATTGTAACCTCTGTAGGAGTCTCTTTGTGAGGGGATGTCTTTTTTATAGCATGCCCAAAGCACATTTAAATTGAGGGGTGTGCATGTTTTTCTTTATTTTTGATACACTAATGGTAGATATATATACACTATATTTTCTTTAAATGCATATGTGCCCCCCAGCATAGCCCTCCACATGAACCCTTGATCAAGTCCATGGTACACCAGCCTGCTAACCCATCTTCAAACAGCTTCTAAATAGAGAGCTGTGCTGCAATTCCCTCTGAGGAAGCCTTCGCTGTGTCCTCTCCTCCTGCCTTCTTTCCTCCTGCCTCCTTTCCTCCTGCCTCCTCTCCTCCTGCCTCCTTTCCCTTCTCCTAGCAGTCCCTCATCTTTCTGCCCTCATGGCGGCTGTTTGCTTCGAGCTCAGTTCTCACGTAGGGTACCACTGTTAGTGCTTCGGCTCTAAATCCTAAGTTATCTCCCTTACACAGCACCTCGCTGCAGAGAAAAAGCCCACCATGGCCGCCTTTACTCAAACAAGCCTCAAGATCATATCCTGAGAGCCTTGCAGCCTGATGTGTTTCACTTTTTGCTGTTGCGAGTTCTGTGAATCATATAATGATTTAAACGGATACTTGTGTCTTCCAGCGAATTCAGGCGGCTCCCTCCAAGGCCCGCAGACGCCTCAGTCCTCCGGCAGCAGCTCTACAGCGGAGGCAGCGGGAGATCTGAAACCCCCCACCCCTGCCACCACCCCTCTGGGACAGGTCACACCTCTGCCCCCCAACAGGTACCACACAGACCCACTGTAACAGTAACAGTACTAATGCAGTACTGCTGATGCTCCACCGCTGCTCTAATGATAATAATAATAATTCATTACATTTATTTTAGCGCTTTTACAAGTGCTTAAAGCGCTTTACATTACATATTACATATATCAGACATGTAATACATCAATACTGTGGACAATACCCACAGGTATTGGTACTAATGCTCATTATGTTCATCCAGTCACTGCCGCTACAGTAGTTTATTATCTATGATTATTTGACTTTATTTTGTAAAAGAACTTGCAGTATGTACAAAAACCTGAACAAATTGTGCCTTCTGTCTGAACATTGCATGACACAAATAAACAACAGTTTGAATGTAACTTAGTAAACTCAACTAGTCAACATATTTGAAAGATAAGGTTAAATGATATTATCAGCATTGTTTAAGATTACAGTGCTTAACAATATATACCGTTGTTGAAATAAGCTTCACTTGTGACTTAATGTGCTGCATACATGTCTACAGTATTGCATCTGTAACTATATCAAATAATATCTAACTCCCAGTTTTAAAGAAAAAGAAAAATAACGTTGATTTTCCTAAAAGATAAACATGTCCCTGGCCTATGATAAACCCCTCTAGCAACTTTGATAACAAATTGCGTCAACTTAATAGCCAATTAAAACATTTAATAATTTGTCTTCAAAGCACACATTCCATATTTTCAGTGTTTCAGTTGTCTCCACCTCCCTCACAGCTTCTTCTTCTTCCCCCCTCCCCCTCCTCCCTCCCCCAGGAGCAGTGTGAGCGTGCAGGATCCCTTCTCGGAGGTGAGCGACCCTGCCTTCCAGAAGCGTGTTACCCCCCTGCCCCCCTCAGCTCCCTACCAGCAGGGCCTCAGCATGCCTGACATGATGATGAGGATGCAGTATGACACCAAGGACCCCTTCGCCGGGATGAGGAAGAGTGAGTGAACCACACGCTGTGACATCCTTTTACCCAAACCATGTTCTCCACAATTTTCTCCCCAATATTCTGAGTCTTATGTTAATAAACTAAACTATGACTATCACTTTTTGTTATAGTCATATAAACTTTAAATGAGTATATGTAATCCCAAAGCCATTGTTCTTTGGTTTGTCTCGTCGGTCTAATTCATCGTCTAGTCAGGACAGATGTGTGTGTGTGTGTGTGTGTGTGTGTTTTACTACCAGAACTATGAAAGGAGATGAGAACAGTTTTTTACGCCACACACATCCTTTTATCGAAAACACACCGGCCCGTCTGATGTTCTTGTAGCTTAGCCTTCGTCTCATCCTTACTTTGTACGTCCTTTTCATCCTCCTCGTTCTCAACCTTTCATCCTTTCCATCCTGCTGAGAAGCACCTGTTTTGACCAACTCATGCGGTTTAGTTCTCAGAACAAACAGTAGTTTCAGAAAGAATGGCGGCTCCTCTGAAGGCTGCAGAGAATGGAGTCTGAATGAATAATATGGTGGATGTTAGCTGCATAACAACAGTCGCCGCCTCAGAACAATACATGTAATCATGGGAAGTGGAAAATATCCATAGAGGAATGCTGCCACCTGGTGGTCGGCAGATAAAAAGATCCATGCATTTAAACATAAACATGTTTGCAGTTTTTCAGTGATTGCCTAAAATCATGATAATATGCAACAATCAGAAAAACCTAATGTTCTCTCCTCCTTCTCAGTGGCAGGAGCTGACCCCTACATTCCGGGTCAGATGCCGAGTGGAGGCATGCAGGACATGTATGGTCGCCCCCCGTCGGCGCTGAGCATGAGCCAGCGCTCGCAGTACCCGTACGGGCCGGGCTACGACAGGAGGTAGGAGCAGACCAGCAGATGAGGGTGGTGAACCTGCAGCATGTCATTATTTCTCTGACATTTTCCCTGTTTGATCCTCAGACCGGACCATGTCATGGGGATGGAGGGGAACATGGGTCCCCCTGGGAGTCAGAACAACATGGGACCTTCCAACAGTGAGGGCAGCATGTACTCTCCCAGCAGATACCCTTCACAGCAGAGGTCAGCACCTGTGGAGTCTTCATGTAACTTTACGATTCATGTTCTGAACCAGCGTGTGATGTATCCTCTGTTGTGTTTCAGACACGATGGCTACAGTCAGCAGTATCCCAGCATGCCATACGGGATGCATCCATCTGGGATGTACCCACAGCAACAGGTGAGAGAGAGCTCATCTCTAAGATGTTAATACAGAAGCTTTGCACTATATATGACGTACCAGCAAAACATTAAACCCATTTGGAACAGGAAATGCCCTAAGATCACACTCCAGCCTAAAGATGATGTACCATATCAGTAAATCCTCATGCTACAAGTTTGATGAAAAGCATGCCAGTAGCTTTTTTTGTAATCCTGCTGATGGAGAAAAGAACGGACAGACGGAAAAACCGAGCCAAATCAAATCTCCTTGGAAATGAATAGAGAGGATTCGATTGAAATTGTAGAAGTAATCCATAAATATCTGCCATACCTTTGAGAAAACATGTAAAGATGCTACTCAGATCATGTCATTCTTAATCTCATATATACCACCTCTGATTCTCCTGGAGCTATGAGTATGCCTGTTTGTACTAACCATCTCCCCCCTTGCTTCAGCAGGGCTACAAACGGCCAATGGACGGCATGTACGGCCCCCCCCCCAAGAGACACGAGAGCGACATGTACGCCATGCAGTACGCCAACCAGCAGCCGGACATGTACAACCACTACGGCGGGGGGTACTCGGGCCCCGATCACAGACCCTTACAGGGACAGTTCCCCTACCCTTATCCCCGCGATCGCATGGGCCCCTCAGGTCAGAGCCAGCACAGCATGATGGGTGGGGGGCCCACTCCTAACCATGCGGCCGATGGCCCCAACATGTGGCCCTCCAGAACAGACCTGGGCTATCCTTACCCCAACAGACAGGGGCCGCCGTCACAAATGCCCCCCTACATGAGTAGAGAGGACATGGAGGGGCGCCCGGGACAGGAGCAGTGGCACCGTCAGTCCCCTTACATGTCATCATCGGGGGGCATGATGCCCCTGACCTCACGCCAGCCATCTTCTTACTCTAACTCTCCCTCCATGCTCAACCACCTGCCCAGGGCCCCCAGCCCGGGGGCCTTCCAGCGCTCCATGGACCCCAGGATGTCTCCGGGCAAGGCTCCGTTCATGTCAGCCATGAAGATGACAAAGCCTGGGATGAGCATGATGGGCCCACAGGGGCCCCTCGGTCACTACCCCCACAACCTGAGGCGGGACCTCAACTACCCCCCAGGATCAGTGGAGGCCACCATGCCCCTCCTCAAGCCCCGACGCAGACTCACCTCCAAGGACACCGGTGAGATTATTTATTTAATGACTGTTCTGACCGAGGTGATCAGATGCAATAGCGATACTACAGTGTAATATATTTAAATATATAAGTCCTGCATTAAATATGCAGCCCATTTCAGAATAGAGTAATAATAATTAGTTATTCATTACGTGCAGTTCATTAATTATGTAGTAAAGGTGGAGCATATTGTTGCCATTCTATAGTATGCCTGCTCATAATAACACATCATCCTTAGTTAGTTCATTCACATGTTGTGTTAATATTATGAATCCAAGTATTGTCAAATAAACGTAGTACAGCAACAAATACAATATTGACTTGAAAATATTGAAATACAATACTAGAGTACCCAGTTACATTCAACCAGTGACTGGGACAGTGGGTGGATTGGTAAGGATGTTTATTCTCGTTGTGCATGTTGTGGATGTTTTAGACCTATCACAGCCTAATGTACATTTTATAAAAGTACTTAGAACTACTACTCTATTCAGTGTTTCCTTTGTATCGTTTGGACATTGTCTGAACATCCTACTGGTTATATCGCAGGAACGCCGGAGGCCTGGCGCGTGATGATGTCGCTAAAGTCCGGCCTGCTGGCGGAGAGCACCTGGGCGCTGGACACCATCAACATCCTGCTGTACGACGACAGCACTGTGGGCTCCTTTAACCTCTCGCAGGTAAAACACAGGCATACACCTCACTGCTGACAGGACGCAATCACTCATTTATACTGCCAGAGCCTGCTGTAACTGATATAGTGAAGAGACATAACATTTAGTTGGGAGGACATATTCATTAGACCATTATATCATTATGTAGGCCAAAGGACTCGAGATATTATGTCCATTTGAAATGAAAAAGTCATTAGAATGACATTTCCTTCTGCTCTAATTGCTGACATTAATTTTTTCTGAACAGCTGCCTGGATTCCTAGAGCTGATTGTGGAGTACTTCCGCCGTTACCTGATCGAGATCTTTGGCATCCTGGAAGAGTTTGAGGTGGGGGCCGTGGCTCAGAAAATAATTTTGGACCCTGCTGCTGACCAGAAAGAAGAAGCGCCCGCTGACCAGGAAACAGAGTCTAGTGCTCAACCTGAACCTCACGCAGCTCCGGGAGCAGAGGTGGAGAAAGCGGCGGCCATTGTGGAAAAAACTCCACCAGACACTGCAGAGCCAGCCGAGGTGAACGGTGAGACAGAGGTTAGCGTCAAGAAGGAAGAGGACGGAGAGAAAGAGGTGGAGGCAGAGAGTGGAAAAGCAGTAGAGAGTAAAAAGGAGAGCGCAGAGACGGAGCCTAAACCCAAACAAGCTAGTAAATACGACCGGCTCCCCATCAAGATCGTCCACAAGGAGGAGCTGACGGAGGACATGATGGAGCACTTAGGCTACGTCACCGAGTTCACCAGCGGGTTGCTCCACTGGCAGGCAGGCGGGGGGGATTCCACCGCACACATTCAAACACAATTTGAACCCCGGAGCGAACCACCTGCCAGGGCGGAGGGAAAGACAAACAAAGAGGAAGACAACAGAGAGGATGATGGAAAGAAACATTTCACCGCGACAATTGACGATGTTCTGTGTGCTCGGGTCGACGCCCTCTCCTACGCCCACCCCGCCCGCTCCCTGCCCTCCTACCCTTTCAGGGTGCACGAGGACGGCGAGCAGGACCACATCACCCTGCTGGAGGACGAGCCGCGCTGCCAGGACGAGGCTCCGCTCTCCACCTCCTCCGCCGGGCAGGACGCGCTGGCCAAGCGCTGCCTCTGCGTCTCCAACATCGTGCGCAGCCTGTCCTTCATCCCCGGGAATGATTTGGACATGTCCCGCCACCCCGCGCTGGTCCTCCTCCTGGGCAAGCTGCTCCTGCTGCACCACCAGCACCCGGAGAGGAACAGGTCGCCGCCCGGCTACCGGAGGGACGAGCTGCAGGAGCAGGGGTCCTCCAGCAGCGAGGGGGAGTGGTGGTGGGAGTGTCTGGGTCTGCTCAGGGAGAACGCCATGGTCACTCTGGCCAACATCTCGGGCCAGCTGGATCTCTCCACCTACCCGGACACCATCTGCCTCCCCATCCTGGACGGCCTACTCCACTGGATGGTGTGCCCCTCGGCAGAAGCCCAGGACCCCTTCCCTTCAGCAACAGCCCACTCCCAGCTCACTCCCCAGAGGCTGGTGCTGGAGTGCCTCTGCAAGCTCAGCATCCAGGGCGGGAACATCGACCTCCTGCTGGCCACGCCCCCTTTCAGCCGCCAGGAGAAACTCTTCACCGTGCTGCTGCGCTACATCGCTCAGAGGAAGGCGCAGGTGTACCGGGAGATGGCCGTGGCTTTGCTCTCCCACCTGGCACAGGGAGACCCCACGGCGGCGTGCGCCATCACCATGCAGAAAGGCAGCGTGGGTAATTTTGTAGGCTTCTTGGAGGACGGCGTCAGCATGGTGCAGTACCAGCAGAACCCTCACAGCCTGCTGCACATGGGGCACCCCCCCATGGACCCGCCCAGCACCAACATGATGTGCCGAGCGGCTAAGGGCCTGCTGGCCATGGCCAAAGTGGCGGAGAACAAGACAGAGTTTGTGCTGTACGAGAGCCGATTATTAGACATGTCCATTTCCTCCGTGCTCAACGCGGGGGTGGTGGCTATCATTTGCCAAGTTCTCTTCCACTTAGGGAAATTGTGACAAGAGGAGAGGCGTGACTCACCCGGCAGATGCTAACATACTCCTGTGGTTTTCTATTTTTATTTATCAAAATGACAGAAAATGTTTGTTTTTCTAAAAAAGAAATATCCACATAAACAAAAATATCTATATATGTAAAGCCCCCGTTTAAAAAAAAAAGTGGGTTTGGGATTTGAAAACCCCTTTTAATACAAAATATTTAATACCTGCTGGCGATTGCTACTTTTGTTCGGCATTTGTTTTTCGCTTGTTTACTTTTTTTCAGCCAAAGCTGCCACCAGATGTTGGTGCTGAATTACGTGGTTCCTTTTGAGTCGATGGAGATGTTTTTCAGTTTTATAAATGCTAAATATACTCATCAACATTTTGTTAACGGAGAGTATTTATTTAAAATGTGACACTGTACAGTAGTTTGAACTTTTTTGCCAACAGTCGTGGGAGAGGGGGGAAAAAACACTGACTTTTCAAATTGAAATGTATATGTCTCCATCGCTGGAAGATAAATTGTGCAATAGGACTCCAGAGCAAGTTGTCCCTTTTTGAAGAATCTTTAAAGACACAGTCTGCAGTGTGTGCTTTAGGCCATGAGGAGGCAGCATTGCACCAGCCAATCAACATGAGAGATAAGCGTCTGTCAGAAAAGCCTAATTTATCAATCATAGCCTCAACCACTCTCACAGAAGAACTTTTGTGTTTCCCAAGCACTTGTGTCATGTCTGTATTTTTTCATCACTGTGTATATAAACTGTTGGACGCACATGATTCTTTCAGTCTCAATCAAGCATAGCAAGAGACTCTCCGACTATTATACAAATGCTTTTATCGTTGGTAAATTTGTTATTGTTATTATACATATTTTGTTAATGGGGTCAAATATTTGAACATGGCAGATGTAACTGGTGTTTCAATGTAAAAAAAATCCTGTATGCATTGTATTATAGCTGAGAAAACAATCGCTTTGGTAATCAAATGTGAAAGTGCCAGGGTGAGAGGTCACATAAGATAACACATTTCTGTTTGTTTACTGTCCTCCATTCATGTCAAGGGGCATATTTTTAAATCGAGATAATGCTCTAAAAAAAAACGTGTGAAAAGAAAATGTCCTGAGAGCTCATTGTAAAATTTGCCTTTTTTTCGTATGACTCCATGTCTCTCTTTTATTCAGTATACACATTTATACTCTGTGCCGCACATGTCACAAATAAATGTACTAAACATTGTTAAGCACCGGAGACGTTGCATTATGTCCAGACAATCTTAGGCCAATAAAACAAACATCAACTGCTTACACGGACTGCCTTTTATTGATGTCATTCACCATTATTTCATCACGGTCACAGCTGACTCCTGCAGCCTTAAGGCGAAATTATACAACCCTTGCGAAGGTCCAGAGGACGCGTGATCAGAGGACCTGATAGTCTTCCTGACAGAGTTCAAATATTCAAGCCGACAGATAAACATGGCTGCTACTCATTTTTGAAAGTTTCCCATCAATGAATATCACAAAGTTCTGGATTGTATGTCTTTATCTCTTCATCAAAAATGTTAATATAGTGTAGAGTAAAAAAGTAAAAGGTCATGTTTTTTGGTACAGGTAGGAGACACAAACAAGGACACAACAACAATGTAGGTGAGAGAAGATTTCCATATCCCAAAAAGGTAAAATAAGAAAATAAAACAGCAGTAATAACACTCATTAGACAAGAACAAAATAACCCAAAAATAAAGAGAGAAGAAAACAGTCAATAGGATCGCTTCAACATTTCAGATAAAAAAGTCTCTTTGCAGCAAACTGAGACTAAGCAGATAAATCATAGAATAGGTTTATTTACATTTCCAGTTGCATGCTGTGTTGGCGTTGAAGTCTGGGTCTGATAAAGTGTCATGAATACTTATTGTACTCTTGGGACCCCACACTCAATTTAAACGGCTCCTCTCAGATCATTAGCTTGCATTATCTTCCCAAAGGTCAACGACCTTTTGACCTCTATTCTCCGACATACAGTGATGCCCTTCTCAAAACCTCATACCACTTTAATTTCTAGAGCCCTTGAGCTCTTCAGGAAGGACGCCACCTAACATTTGCAAGAAGGCTCTTGTGAAAAAAGCTTTTGACCCGTTTCAATGGAAGTGTCATGCATTATAGGCCTTCACACAAGATCTTTTTGACTTGTCATGCTATGAAAAGTACAGGGGTTAATAATAACATTAATGTCACACTGTCATGACACTGCAATAGAACACAGCTGTCTTTAATCAGCATGAATAAAACCAGGAGTAGCTAAATGGAATTCAGCCGTCATGAATTGTATTGTTGTACACCTATTCCTTTTCTACTCTGACATGTAGAAATATTGTTTTAGGAAAAACTCCTAGGGTTCATAAGGAATGATTCTCGCTTCTCCTCTCAGCTTTTGTTATGGTTCTTAATAGAAAAGTAGGGTACATCTTGTCCCATGTGTTACAGCTTTGTGTTGCTGTATCCAGGGACTAGTTTGTGTGTACATTTATGCATGTCTTTCATTCAGTTTATTAAAAGGTTAGGGTTAGGCATGAAATAGAAATCTTTCAAGAGCAGACATAATCTCCCTATGACTTGAGTACATTTTACAGCCTCAATTTAACGAAGAAGAATAGTTGAATGAAGACACTTCTGCTAACACCTGGTTTTATTATCTTCTACTGTAACTCATCACAGGTGAAGTTAACTGTGGATCATACTGAGAGTGATAGCACCAGATACTCTTCAATATTCTTCTACTTTCTCTTCTTGTCTTTAAATGAAGTGCTCAGAATTCTTCCTTCTTCTTTAATTGGAATTTCACACATTTCTCCCTCCTTTCCTTTGCCATGGGAAATGTGGGCATAATATCAAGTCCTATTTTAACTAAGGCTACATGTATGCACCTGCAGATCACAAACTGAAACGTAGCTCACACACCTTTGAGCGTTTCCAATTTCCATTTAGAGATTGATAAGTGGGTTTGCTTTCACATAGGCAGGAGAATACCTCCCACACTCCTGTGCCTCTGAGAAGCTGAGTCATCGAGCGCGGACAGGATGGATGTGGTGCCTGAGTGGAATCCAGGCCTGTCATTGGCTACCGCCAGGCCTGGGTGCCCAGCCCTGCCGCCTCTCACCGCTAACGTAGGTAGATGAATGAGCATCAGGTGAAGACAAAAGAGAGTGCTCTAACCTTTCAGAGGAAGTGTTTTATGTGTGGTGTGAACTGTGTGTGTGCTTACCAGTTCAAGCCACCTGCAATAATTGTGGCTAAAGAGAGTATTGATGAAGCTTTGATGTGCCTTCATGCTGTCCAGGTTTCTAATCCAAACAGTTTTGCCTGGATGAGGCCTTGGCAGGATGTGATTCAGGCCTGTGTTGTTCTTGGATAGGGGCTCAAAGGCCCAATCGCGTCCACTTACTTTCCAACACAAACACAGCTTCAGCCATATGTCATTGCATCGCTTAATGAGCCCCACATTTAAGGAATTAGTCTGGAGGGCTTACAGGTCATTAGCAGCCATTCAAAACATCCACAGCTTTCCAACAGATTAAGCAAAACATGTGCCACTTGATGGCTTCACACGCCCGGCGGCAGTGGCAGCCAGTCATGCTCTCAGCCAGTTTGCAGATGCACGACACAAGCTTTAATGGGGGACAACTCCCAGCACCAAACATCACCACTTCCTTATAAACATTGCCAGTCAGCTCTGGGTACAGTGCAGTAGTTTGTGTACAAGATTGTGTGAGGGTGTTGCATTGTTTTATCAGAGACGCTCAATATCCCTGAATGCTAGATCTATGAGGGGCCGTGTAGGCCAAAATTCAAACTAACCTCGCACACACACTACTGAAAACATCTGGCCTTGCACACACACTACTGAAATACTCTCACCTTCACTACTGAACACCTCACACACACACTACTGAAAACATCTGGCCTTGCACACACACTACTGAAATACTCTCACCTTCACTACTGAACACCTCGCACACACACTTCCGAAAATTAACCTCACACACACGCAACTGAAAACATTTTACTGAAAGGTTCTAACAGTAGGGAATGTGCATGTGTTTCACCTATGTGTGTGAGGGGGATTCTTGCTGTAACGGAAGTCATTGTAATGAAACGGAAGTAACAAAGAACAATGCTGCAGTGATACAGTAGGTGGCGATAATTCTCGTCTACTCTGTTTTCATTAAAGAAAAATAATGAAACAGAAGGTCCAATTCAGCATGGATTTATAGAGAAACAGCACCGCAGCCGTAGGCTGGAGCCTGGACCGAGCAGTCTACAAACTGAGACGGTCTGGTCTATGGAGGTGTTCTTGTTTATGTAACCCAAATGTCCCGTGACTCTCTGAACACCCTGGGACTCTGCGTTGTGTTTCTTATGGGTGATGGGATGTTATGCAGAGGGGAGGAAAACAGGACACAGTAGATCAGATTGCAGTGGAGACGCTGAGCGGTGATTTATTTATTCCAATGGCAGCTCTTCTGAAACACCTTTCATGGAGTGAATGTAAACATTAGCCATTAGCTACATGCTAACCAATAAAACAACCAAATTAACAGACAAAACATAAACGAGTCATTCCTAGCATTCTGTGCCATTTAGGTCCCCAACACCATTATATCATATATTTTGTATTTAAAAGGTCTAATGCTTATTTTTTAAAAGCTTGGTTTTAAATGTTTATCCCCCTCTACCATAAAACAACAATGTTAATTACCCAGGATATTAAAAATTCTAAATAATTACTCTGATTTTAGCACAAGTAGGCCGAATTGCTGTGTCCCCAATCATGTTTGCTCAACTTCTGTAACAGATATTAAAAAAGAAATCAAAGAAATACAAACAAATTCTACATTTTTGTCACTGTTGTATAACCCTTTTGCTAATATTCCTCACCAAATGTAATTATTTTTTATTAATTCATTTTTATTGTTTAAAGAGTGTGTGTCCCCTGTTTGAATGTCCCCCCTGTTACTCTGATTTGAATCCCTCTGGACACGCCCCTTTACTATTCTACTATAGAGTGGCGAAGTCACGCCCACCTACTTCCGGGTAATGGGACCTTATTTCGGAAAAATTATGCATTGAAGTCAATGGGGAGAGAAAACTTATCTTTCGATCCCGTTTGAATTGTGCCATGAATTACACATATGATGTTTGTCAATCTTAAAAAATAATTTCCATGTCAAAAAAGTCAGTTTGTCGTAAAACTGTTGAAATATAAGACTATGAAAAATACGTAACTAGAAAGACTACAAATCCCAGAGTCGCGTAAGTGATGTCACAATTGTTTTCCTCCACCATTCAGATACCTAAGATCAGCGCAATATAGATATAATCTATCTATATGGCGCTGGCTAAGATAAGATAACTTTAACAAGATGCCTGTGTGCTTAGTACCAGGTTGTTATTATACCAGCAATGGGTCTTGCTCGTTCTTTTGCTTCCCGTCTGATGAAAGGACCAGGAGTCGCTTGATCAAGTTAGCTACCTAGCTAGTAGCTAGCACGTTAGTTAGCATTACAGCCTTGTCATTTTTATTAGCCTTAACATGAAGTAACATTAAGTAACCCAAAATGTTAAACAGTAAGAGTAGTAGTCATATTTCGTGAACCCTTTGAATAGTACTGTCACCGGTGTGATCATTCTATAATACACCATTTAAGCCCGGGGGAGAAATGCTAACGCTAACGTTAGCATCGGCAATCTTCTCTACTTCATGCTATCTGCACAAATGGTTGACATTAAACATTAAAACGACAAGGCAGTTCAGAGAGAATCAAAGGAAGGCAGGCAGGCAGCTTTGCATGACATTCTTCAGGACGTGTTTCATTGTGGTGATAGTGAGGATAGTCAATCGTTTTGTTGACAAGACAGTAGTGACGGCCATCTTGGTGACGTGTGTTGTTGACCAGAGATGTAGTTCATTGAGCGTTTCACACAAACAAATGTGTTACTTCACAGTTTTACGACACATTTTTTTTTTTTTGACTTGCAAAATTATCTTTTAAATTGACAAACATCATATGTGTAATTCGTGGCACAATTCAAACGGGATCGAAAGATAATCTTTCTCTCTCCATTGACTTCAATACATAATTTTTCCGAAATAAGGTCCCATGGAGGTCCACCGGAAGGGGAGGGACTTCGCCACTCTATTTGTATGACTCAAGAAGAAGGATACATTTTGAGTGGGAAAATCATCTTCAAGAAGCAGAGTGTATGCATTCTTCCTTCAACGTTTTTTTTAACGTTTTTAAAGAACT